AGCCTGCTGCTGCTACGACGATGACGACGACGACGACGACGACTAGTACTACGACTACTACTACTACTACTACTACTACTACTACTACGACTACGACTACGACTACGACTACGACTACGACTGCGACTGCGACGACGACGACGACGACGACCACGACGACGACGACGACTACTACTACTACTACTACTACTACCGCTGCTACTGCTACTCGTACTTCTGCTCTTCCTTTTCCACCTACTGCTGCTGCTACTGGTGCTGCTACTGGCTACTGGCTACTGGTTACTGTTACTGGCCGCTATCCCTATTGGGGGTACGGCGAGTTGTAAGTGTACTTAGATACATACTATGTATATGATCTGTATATGTATATGATACATGTGCAGATGTTTGCATGGCTAAAACTAGCTAGCAAGCTAGTTCGCATGGAGAAAGCTGCGTCTCAGGGTTGATGTTTTAATGTTTCGCGAAGATGTTCAGTACACGTATCACCTTCACGGGACGAAGGCTGGCAGGACCTGTGCAAAAAGATAGTGCAGTCATGTATGTGCAGAGGGGTGTCTACTGTCAAATTCCGCGTTGCAAGCGAATGTTCATGCCCCAGCAGTAGTGCCATTGTAAAGCTAGCAGCACGACAACGACGATAACGGCAAGAAGAAGTTGAACAGGCTGTACTCGTAGAGCCATCAGAGAAGCAGGGCTGGGCGTCGAGCCGAGCTGAGGATGCCCATATGGCCATTCCAGACTTCGAGCCGGAACGCGAGCTTGCACTCTTCGGGGTCTTTGATGGCCACGGCGGAGTAGCGGTGCCCCGGGCAGCTTGCCTCTCACGCGCGAGAGACTTTGCGGCTTACTGGCCAGGTGGCCAAAGTTGCTGCTGAACGCTTCCCCGAAACTTTGAGGGCGCTCCCCGCTTTTAAGCAGGTGCCGGGCCCGGGTCGGCTTTCAAGGCAGCAGGACATAGCAGGACGTAGCTTTGTCTCCGTGAGCTGCCAGGGGCGCTACTCTGAAGCTTTGTATGAGGTGGGGGATGCCACGCTGACAGTCTTTCCAGTACTTGTTGCTTGCACCCTGTCAGTCTTTCTTGAAACTGGATTCCTTCCTGGACAGTCCCGCCGGCAGAGAAAAGGCTGACGATTTCGGTGCGGCAGCGCTTCGGTGACTTACGGAAGGCTTGGAGCTTGCGTCAGGTGAAGGAAGCCACGCCGGCTCCCGTGGATTCCGAGATGGAGGAGGACGCGAGGCGAGTTTAGACGGCTCGGGGTGCTGCAGCGCTTGGGGCGAGGAGGAGCTGCTGCGTCTCCTGGAGTCCGGAGAGCTCGATGCCGACGACCTCGAGGGTCTTGAGGCCGACGTGAAAGAAGTCCCTTACAGTAGAGACCGAAGATGAAGCTTCAGCCATGGGAGGAGGAGGTGGAAGAGGCCTCGCGCCTGGCTGACTTGCCAGCCTTTGTCGAAATGAAGTGCGCAAAGCAAAGGAGGCTGCAGAAGAGGACGAGGAAGAAGCGGCTTCTGGCTCGAGCTCAGATTGGGCCAACGCCGAGGGTCCAGACGGTGTGACCCTGAGCGCCGCGCCAGCGTCGCAGTCCCGGAGCCTTCGACTTTAGGGGCAAATGTGAACTGTGCCAGGGATGGGATGCACAGCCGTGGTGGCCCTGGTCTGCGGTGGCAGCAAACCCGAGGTTTTCCCTCCGAGCACTCTGCGAGGTTTCTTGCGGGCTCATGCAGCTCATGTTGACACGATCTTGATATCTGCTGTCTTGCTTTCCCAACTTGTGTGACGATTTCGACCCTCAAATCCCGAGAGCCTTGCGAGGTTTGCTAGTACGACAAGTCAAAGCCCAACATTCAGTCGCGACGATTACTTGACTTGTTAGAGAGCTCTTGTTGCCAGATAGCGGCAGATAGCGGATCTTGCTGGTTTTGTCGCTATTGCCAATCTCTGGACATCACGTGTGCGACTCTTATTCGTGTCCCTAGCTCTTTTTGTTCCTTAGGGTCGTGGTGTCAAGTTTGTTCCTTAGGGTCGTGGTGTCAAGTGTCTCTAGTTCGGTCTTTAGAAGCCGCCGTCGCCCGCATGCCCGGTTCTCCTCAAGCTGTATTCTGCATGTTGAAGCCTCGTTCAGGAAGTTTGCATCGAATGATCGCATAGTCAGGTTGCCACATCTTGCATCTTATCGCAGCTGCAGAGCACAGCCCACTTCATTCAACACCCTCCCTAAGTAAGCATAGATCCATGACTGGGACGTGATGGCACCCAAGAAGAAGGCTCGCCTTGGGATTCCCGGGCAGATGCTCCGGCGGACCTTTACATTCCGTGCGTCTAGACAGGAAGCCTCTGCGGCAGACGTCCTGCAAGACGGCCCCGAAGAAGAGGAGGAAGCCGGTCCTGGCAAGGCGGCGGCATCCACGTGGCCTCTTGTTGGGAAGTCGGCCGTTGCAGACCTGGTGCAGGTGGTGATCCAGATCTCCGCCGACGGGGTCCAGAACCTCCCAAGGGAGCCTCGCCCCCGTCCTGCGTTGACATGAAGCTCACACGGCTTCCGTGACGGAGGCTGCAGACACTCCTTGGTTTCAGTGGCTTCTGCAAAGAGTTCCGGTGCGGTCCCCGTCAGATGCCTCTTGGTGGGAGTCCATGTGGAATTTTCGCAGGACTGGGGCTTCGTCCGAGTCCGGCTGGGTCAGCTTCTCAGGTGTCAGAGCAGGCAGCAGGCGGCAGCGGCAGCCTTGGCTCCGACTGAGGAGTTTTCCAAGGATGCCGTCATCAGATTGCAGAACCAGGACGGGCCGTGCGTGGCGGCTGTGCATGGCGGCTGTGCATGGCGCAGACAGGACCTGTACAACGACATTGTGCAGAGACCCTTGGTCCTCTCGGTTCGAGACGCCGCCGCCGAAAACGCCCTCATAGGCGGGAGGGCGTGGGCCCATGTGGGCCCGTGGGCATCCGAGAGGCTGAGACTTTGCCCCTTCGTTCCAGGCTCCGCGGAGTTGAGCCTGGTCCCCTTGTTGCACAGCGTGACGGAGGCCATCTCGCATGTGCAGAAAACTTGAAGGGCGGTACGATGCGGTTCGTGTGCTTGCGGGGGAAAGGTGACGGCCCAAGTGGAGCTCAAGCTGGAACCCGAGTACTACGCCAAGTGGTGGAAAGATGTGTGGGGCTCAGTCAGTGCCATCCGCAGGAGGTTTGATTGCGGCGGCAGCATGCGACGGAGTCAGGGCCAGGTGTGACGCGCGGTCACAATGCTGTTGACCTGCCCAGGACGAGGCAGACGACCCCAAGGCCAAGAAGGATCCGGACCTGCTGCTGGGAGAAGAGCTGCTCTTGCTACTTCATCGACAGGACAAAAAGGCCCCGCCGCCCACGGAAACGCCAAAGGACGCGAGACTGTTCACTTCCTGCGCGTCCGGTGCGACAACTTTCAGCTGTTAAGAGGTAGGTTGGCGGATCTGTCGGAAAGAGGGATTGGGCGGATTGGGTCCGGGTTGCTCAGAACAGGAGCGCGAGCCGCTCTTCGAGGGCGAGACTCCGCCTGTGACGGTCCTTTCTGTGCGCCCGGCATGGCCAGGGCGTAGTGCGTTGAAAGCTGGCAGACGGTACTGCCAGGTGACCATCCGGGCTGACATGTTGATAGGTCCCGAAGAGGCGGGTCAGCTTTCGAGTTTGTGAAAAATGAGATTCTCAGCCAGCGGCTTTGCCTCAGGACAGGGATTGCTGGACAACGCTGACTATGGATGTGGCAGGTGCAGAAAGCAGGGACGACACCATCAAGCGTAGCAACGCAGAGACTAGCTCAGAGCAGCGGGAAAGGCATCTTCGCCCTTCCAGAAAGCCTGACGACACTCGGAGTTTCCAGCTCGTGTCTCAGTGTGCCCTGCAGCCAGAGAAGCGATTTCGAGCATCCTGGGCCCCAGGTCCAGACGACTTTCAGGCCTTCCTTGCCGGTACAGTCTGATTTCTGGTGCCCTCAGGCCCTAGGCTATGGATCGCAGTTTTTGAGATACTGACCGTTGCAACTAAACCTTCTCAAAAGTGCCCATGTCCAAAACGTCCGGACATGTCAAGTACGACACCGAAGACGCCAAATAGCTGAAACAAAGACGATCCTCGAGGGGGACAAGCAGAGACGAAACGTCGGCATTCTCGTTCATATTGTCGAAAGCCCCGGCAGTAAAATGTTTGGGCAGATTCCGAAATTGTTTTACTGGGGGTTAGGCTGGGGTTTGTGGGGTTTATTTCATCACAGCTCTTTGTAGAGAACCTGTTTGCTGAATAAACCACGAGAAGTCCGACTTGATCAGGCGCATCCCATGAACTATCAGGGCATGCTGCTCGGGGAGCCCGGCCCTGAAGACACGTCGAATTGGCATCCCCGAGCTCGTCTCTCGCCCGTCGCAAGGTCACTGGGCGAGGGTGCTCTGACGAAAGCCGCCGAGGCGGCGGCGAAGCGCATGGTATCGCCTGGTGTTGAGACATGTTTGTGCACATGTTTGCGCCTCGTTTTGCGCCGCTCCTTGCTCCGCAAAGTCCTGGCTCAGCCAGCGACAGTTTAGGCCCAGGCTGGAGGCCAAGAGAACCGGGCCAAGGCCAAAGGTCAGATGCGACCATGGGCGCGCCTTCCAATTAATCCTATTCTAAGTCACGGAAGGGTTCAGCCATCAAACGTCGAAGGTCGACCCGCAACGAGGCGTAGTGACGGCAGTGAATATCGACAGAGTTGATGTGACACGATGGGTTGCGGCGGCAGCACGCAAAGTGCTTTGCTTCTGCAGGAGGAACCGCCCTGTCCAGAGCGATCAAGTTCGTTTCATCGTTTTTTTTTCGGTGCCAGGAGCCCTTGAAGGAAAGGAACACAGCGGGGCCTCGACCTTGTGAAACTCTGCTACTCGTATCTTCGATGTCATCTGCCCCGAGCCCTTGGAGGTCTAACGAATCTACTGTTGAGCCGAACGATGAAGCACCTTCAGGCGGGCCCCTGTTCATGGTGTGACATGGGTGCGATTCCAGCTGTGCTCTGCCAGGTGATTCCCTACCATGGAAGGAGGTTTGGCATCTCATTGCTTCGCAGCTCACGTTCATGTGCAGTCCACGTGCTGTGACAGGTTGTCAAAGTCGACTCGCAGAGATCAGCAAGATCTCAAGTCACCACAGGGGATTGCACTCCTGCTTGGTGCCCAGTCCGGTTCACTTGTGTTGAAGCTGAATCGAAGATCATCCTCTCAGCATCCGGTTCTGGTGAAGTGACTTCTTGTGAAGCCCTTGCAAGTGCCTGTTTGAAGCGTGACGGCGAGAAAGCGATACCGATGGAGATCAGCACGTGCCAAGGCAGAACCCGTCGAAGCCGTCCCAAGCGGGAGCATTGACAGCCTGCTCAGTGTGTGCTGCTAAGATTTCCCTTGAATTCCACTGCATAGTTCTTCAGCATGGTTCCTGATCAACAACATGTAAGCATGAATAGCAACCGAAAAAACAAGTGGGTAGATCGATGGTCAGTGGACGGAAAGTTCTTTGCAAGCGATCAAGAACGTACTTAATATGTTTGTAGAAGACAAGACATAGCCATACGTAGAACACGTTAGTTTCGCTGTTGCGCCGCGTTGAGGCAGATTTCCTCCATGCTGGCACTGGAGCGTGGGAACCCCAATTTTGGGCATGCAATAACTTGACAGACAGGATTGTTTAGTTTTGTTTGGGAAGTTGATCACAGTTGATCACTCATTCCGCCTAATTTCGAAGTTGATGGATCGCGTTGCTTCTCAAGCGGAAGCGTTTCGTGGTACTGTGCCTAGTCGTGCTTTGCCTAAGGCCGGACATGGAAAACAGCAAGTTGAATGCCAACTTGCGAAAGTTTGCCGTCATCGACGCGGAAGGTCGAGCCTTGCTGCGTTGCTGTGCTCGTCTGCTCGTACTTAAAGGATCATGGGACTTAGTAAGTAGGGTTATAACTAAGGTAACTATACTTATAACCCCAATTAGGGGACTTATAACCTTACTTACTAAGTCCCATCCATGATCCTCCAAGTAAGAGCTGATTTGCAGGCACGATTCCTGAGGAGTTCCCTCGCCTCGCGAGGCCCGTGCCTGTGCCTATAGCCTATAGGCGCCTTTCCCCTGGCCATTTCATGGTGGAGCCAGGCTGATTATAAGAAATCAGGCCCGGATGCTGGCCCGGATCCCAAGGGCCAAAGGGCAGAGAGCTCAGCTTCAGCTTCAGCCTGCTCTCAGGCCGGCCAGGAGCTGAAGGTTTCCAGATGTTTCTCGGAAGACACCGCCGAGTACTCTCTGGACCTCGGCAAAGCCCCGGGGGTGGTGGGCCCGGGGCCTCAGAAACCGATGAGATGTGGCCTTTGATGTGGCCTTTGTCCCCTCAAACGCTCTCTCCTTGACCGCACCTGCGGAGGTTGTCGCAGGTTGACGGAGCCCGTTTTGGCAGACGAACGCTTCAAGCACATAGAGGGGTCCGGCCATCGGACGAGCCAGATCCTGACAGCCGATCCGTCCCGCGCCCCAAAGTTCCGCTGCGGCCAAGAGCCACTGTCTTGAGGCCAAGAGCTGCAAGCCAAGCTATGGAGGAGCTGGCAGGAGAAGGTGTGGAAGAAGAGCATAGGGGAGGGACGAGGGAGCACACCACTTTCTGAGGATCCACGGCTACCAGGGCGACTCTCCGACAAGGAGGGCTTGGGGAGTGCCGAGCAGTTTGAGCGCCAGCCAACACCGTTGCAACTGTGGCAGGAGGAACCGATTCAAAGCCCCAAGCCTAGAGCATCTTAGAGCCAACGGCAAAGCAATTCCGTCTTTCACTGTCTGATGCCCTTGCTCTCGGAAGAGGAGATTTGGATGATTGGCAGTTGCTGTGAGGTTCGCAATCGTCACCTGCTATCGTGAAAAATGAAATGCAGGCCTCAGCCTCAGACATCTTCCCCCCAGGGCCTTTGGGTGGTAATCGCAACAGCTCGAAGGTGCCAGAGGACCTGGTTGCCGCGCTGGTCCTGAGCTTAGTCCAGCAGTGCGGAGTCTGGCCTTCGGAGGCCAGTGCCCCAGCGCCTCAGGATGCACAGCTGGACAACTTCCGCGTCGAAGAGGCGATTCCGCGTGTGGAAGAGAGTCTCCGCGGAAGTGGCCTCTCGTGCCATCAGGAGCTTGAGCTCGCGAGCATTGAGAAAGCAGCTGAAGAACATCGAGGCCCTCATGGTCCACTGACCAGCGCTTGCTGGGTGGTGATAGTGGAGTCTCGCACTCTCGCACATGCCATGCAAAGGCATCGCCGAAGAAGGCATCAGTGCCTTAGTAGAGGGCCTCCAGACAGCCGTGCAAGAGGCCGTGTCACTGTCTGCTGACGCTCCGGTCCGAGTCATCCGATGTCCTCTCATGGCAGGTACTTTATCGTTCTGGAGATGGCAATGTTCCGGAGGTGAGGGCCGGAGACCGGAATGAGCAACGGAGACCGCGGTGGGGTCGCTTCTGCATAGCAGGCTTTGGCTCTGGAAACCAACCACAGCCATGGCGAAGCAGAGTGGCAACGGAGGGAGAACGTGCCATGCCTCGGGTTGTAATTGACGTGTAGCAGGTTTTGCAAGCCTCTTCAAGCACGTTGCTCAGGTGCTGTTCATCTTGGATTGGGACGATGCCGCCTCAGTATCTGCCTTTTTCGGCATGCTGTTACAGTGGGCAGCATGAAGCAGATATGGGTAGTTGTCAAAATTATGGTCCCTTTTGGGGTACCCTAAATAATAGGTGCCGTATTATAATAAGGACCCAAAGCGGGACCATAATTTTGACAACCACCCATATGAAGCAGTCACAGACCCTAAACCCCAAAACAGGACACCATCTTTCCGACCACCTGGCTTGCCACGAAGCCCTGGTTCCGGAACTGGATCCGGGCAAAGGACAGCTCATGGTAGACTCTGCAGAGCCAGTGACGCAGAACGACCGTGCGAGGGTTCACCGGAAAGCATCGGCGAGATTGATCCTGAAGACCTTGAACATCTCAACGCTCTGGACATGGCTGCCTGGAGCTCAGGGATCAAAGATCAAGGGGCAGCAAAATGCCAAGCGTGCAATCGACACCCGAGGCTCATGAGTTCATCTCTTGGATGCACAGTTGCGGCCCCAGTGCAGCTCCTCTTGTGGTGTGAGCCAGGCATAACCGTTCCGAGGCAGGAGCACGCTGGTGTGCATTACGTTGTCTCAGAGACCGTGGGTGGAAATGCGCCTCACACAGCTGGATGTTTTTTTGTCACAGTTCGGTGATACGTGGCCCTGCACACATTTTCTGACATCTTGATCAGGTCGATGAAGGCGTTCATGCCGCGCTTGGCTCAGCTGTGGCAGGCCCGCCTCAAGCGCATCTATTCTTCGAGGAGTCCGAGTTTTCTCTCGACAGGAATGTGAGATCTCGGTGCACTATGCGGTTGAGGAGTATGTTGCCACGCCCAGCAGGCCAGGAGCACGCGGACCATGCGGACCTGGGCGACATGACGAACTGATCGTAGAGCGGCGCGCGCCGAGGCAGGGCCATTGGTGCCAGAAGCCCAGCGGCGCCGGGGGTTTGGAAGGCACCGCACCGGCCTCGGACCATCTGGGACCGGTGTGAGGGGTGTCAGAGCTTTGCAAGCGACTTGAGCCAAGGTGCTGGAGCTTCACATGCGATCCAACCGCAAGCGCAAGGCATCGGCCGCATTGGCCGCATGTTCATCGCTGCCCGAAGAGCCCCCCCTTTTGACAGGTCATGGAGCGCGTCCTGCGGAGGTTCTACCGGAAGACCAGCAACTGTGCGGAGCTTGGGGCTGGCAGGGCATAGCCTGATTCACTGATGCAGCCTTTGCCTCTGCCTTTTTTTGAGGTTGGCTGCATGCCGTCAGCGTTGGCGATGGCTTGGCCGAGAGGGATGCCCTGCAGGCTCTCCGGATCGCTCAGTTCAGCCTCAGCTCTGTCTCTCGCTGTCAGGAGATCTCCATGACCCATCAGAATCCAGCCCAAGAGCTCGGTGCCAAGATGTCAGAGTCGTGTCCATCTTCTCATTTGCGCCTGATTGGGGTGCGGTCAGGTCCGATGCGAGAAGATTCCGAGTGGCACTGCATGTTGATGCTGGGGGATTGATAGAGAGCAGCAAGTCTTGAGATGTGGCGCAGTCGCTTTAACTGGAGCCGTATCGGTGTGATGCCAGGTGAAGACCATACAGATGATCGAGGATCCTAGTTGTGAACACATCAAGATGCAGCTTGAGGCCGGTGTTGTCGCTGTTTTTGTCAGCGTGGCGAAGTCGGAATGTCGGAGTGGATGCACATCGAAGCGCTCGACCCCAAACGGCGGGGTCGGCGGATGTCGAGGGACGCAGAGTCTCGACAATTCGTAGGGTAGTGATTGCCTAGACTTGTAGTTGAAGCACAGCAGCACCGGCAATCTTCAGGGTCGCGTTTTTTTGCTGGTTCAGTGGCCAGGTTCTCAAGAAGTGGACCCAGGTCATCATTAACAGCGACCAGGAGTGTGGGAATTGCACCGTTGCAGCTCGAACCTCTTATAACTCATAATGGTGGTCATCGCGGCCAAGTTCAAAGTTCTTTCGGCTGAAGTTCTGAAGAGGTCTCGAGTGAAGGACAGTGGGGAGAACTCAGCCATGCAACTGCCTGCAGGACATGGATGCGGTGTTTGGCTTCTAGTGAATTGGCCTGCCGCGGCCCACAGCCCCTTGTATAGCGTTTTCTGGCTGTCTCCTTTTCCTTCAGGCTAGAGTCTAGAGCTGCAAACCTTACCGGCCTTGCCGTCTGAGTCCTGTGCCAACATCTCAACTTGAACGCTGAGAATGTCCTAGTGTTTCGTTTGATGTGGCACACTACAGGACTCATGTTCCGGCCGTGTCAGATCAACTGTTGACAGTTTCAGTGTTTCACTCACGGTCCTGTTCAGGAACAGTGCACCGAGGGGTGCAGTCTGTATTCCGTGGATGCCGATCGGTACATTGACATGGAAGAGAGTTGAACGGACATGGTGTTGGCAATCCACAAAGCAGTGTATGTGGCCACCTCGCAGGAGGTTGCTCAGCGTCCTGCCTTCGCAGATTCAGCAAATCTGCGAATAAATCTCGAGACGCCACCGGTTGCTAATGGCAGTCGCTGCTCCTGGCCATATGGGCGTGCCCGCCTTCCTACAACCCAAGCCTTGAACCCTTGCTACAAGCCCTTACTTGTATCACCGTGTTTTGCACAGAAACATGGCCTGGAGCCTTGGAGCCTCTTGGCGATTTGCGACTCGCGCTGGACACAGAGCTTGGATTGGAGCTTGGATGATTTTCCAGGGCATTGCGGAAAGCTTCTCAATTGCTTACAGCCCGCTTTGGTTTGTCGGTCCGACTCGTGAATGGTAGAGCTCGTAGCAAAGCTTGACCGACAAACCAGTTAACGATCAGTGCTCGGACATGTTCCCATGAAGGTGGGAGCCTTGGGGACGTCGCCGTCCTCTTCCGCTTGGTCTGAGATAGGAGTTATGCAGTCTGGAAAACAGAGGCGTCGACTGCGACAGTCTGCAGGTCCACGACCAGATGCGAAGTTGAGCACAGAAGACACGGACCATGGCAGGTTAAGCAAGAGGAGGAAGCGGAGGCGCGACCGGTCGGGAGCCTGGCGATGAGCGCACTGAAGCCGCCAGCCGCGCTCCTTAGGTGCCGTGGGAAGAGGAGCAACGGCGCTTTTCGCCATCTCTTCGCTTTCGGAACGGGCAAATGATTCGGTTCCCTTCACGCACAGATCTGAGGCCGTGAAGGGCTGTTTGTTTCGTGTTGAGGTACAGGGGGCGACGCTTCATCGAGGAATTCAGGAGCATGCTGAGCAATTCCGGTGGCGTGGCGTCCCCGGCATGCTGGCCGATTTCTGTCTGAGCCAGAAACGGTGTCCAAGGTCTTCATGAACTTGGAGCTGGAGGCACCGGGAACCCAGCGTCCGGTAGCTTTGCCGCTGGCACCCCTGGCAGGAGAAGGCGCCGGCGGACCCCAAGAAGCCGAATCCGCCAGAAGCAGCGGAACTGGCCAGGCGACTTGACTAAGCGTCGGACGGGAAGCTCGATGCAGCCATCTACTACTTGTAGTAGTTGAAAGAAACCATTTGTAGTAGTACTTGGCATCTCATGATGTCACATCATGCACGAGTTTCGCGCAGTAGCGTACTGTATCGTGCAAACTATTTTGGCATATCTCATCTTGTCATTTGGTTTTGGCTCAAGCTGTTTTGGGACAAGAGAATCCAGTTTCAATATGATCGGTTTCGTTTGCATCCGTCTGATCCCGGCTTCGAACACGAGACTCTTCACCTGTGGATTACACTTAGTGCGCTACTGTGCACTAAGAAGGACATTGCCTGCTCTCGAAGATGACTCATATCATCTCACGTGGTACCATGTTTTGGCAAAGTACCGTTCATGCCGAGTCAAAAAGCACGACTCGGGACCATACCATTGTATGCAAAGGTTGAACCCACCGTCCGCCACGACATTCTTGTGTGAGCTAAGCTACCATGTCGTATCATACTATATGAGAAGATGTCAGCAGCATCTCAGTGTTTGATGTTACTGAATTTGATGTCACATGATATCATGACATCATTATTGCTTGCAATATTGGAGGATAATATCAGGACATGTTTGGAACATGGTGTATGAAAAAGGTTTAGGATGTGAGCCGTGTTGCATACCGTGCGAGGCCTGGAGCACGAGCACGCAACGCAAAACATAGCATGAAGTATGTTGGGCAGCATGCCATGGGCGGTAGCAAGTATTGCAGATCGCAGCGATATTAAGCTGCTGCAGGTAAGTTCTAAATCAAGTACCAAGACATATATGGTCACGCGCTCCGCGCCCCCCCTCGCCCCCCCCGATGGACCACCCCTCCCGCCCTTGGGGTGGGGTGTGGGGTCCTTCTTTGCCTTGTGGGGTGGTTGTGGGGTTTTGTGTTGGTTTCGGGTTCAGTTTAAGCTTTTGAGTTTTGGGTTTAGGGTTTCGGGTCAAAGGGTTAAGGCTTCGAGTCGACAAGGGCTTAGGGAGGGTTTGGGGTGTAGGTTCGTCAGGGTTGACGGTTTATGTTCTGCTTTAGCATTTAGGCGAGGTTTAGGGTCGGGTGTAGGGTTTAACGAAAAGAGGTTAAGGTTAATTAAAAAACGGGACTCTGTGACCCCTGGCTGCCCCCGCCCCACCCTCCCCAGCCGCAGCAATCCATCCTCCGTACCCCTCTCTGCACACGCCCCTACTGTACCAGCCCATACCATGAACGCCAGATATATCCATGTCTGGGTTCTATATGGTGTGATTCCGTTTGGTACTGTGCTACACGGCGTGTGGCTATTACCTTGGTATGACATCACACATGTCATGACATGTATGCATAGTATCGGAGAGATATGACATCATGTCTTTACGACTGCGTCTTGTTTGCATCAACGGATCGAGCAGCTCCTCCCCTAAACCCTAAACCCTAAACCCTAAACCCTAAACCCCCCCAATAAAAGGTCCTGCTCTGGCTGCGCCTGGCTGGATCTGCGTAGCCTCATCGCCCCCGGGGCTCTCCGAGTGGAGTCCACTTGCGCCCTCGCAGAGCTGGCCCGCTTGGATTTGGTAGGAAAGAGAGACGGGACGTGATTGGTTACATGAAGCTACGGGCCATGCAGGAAGGCTCGGACTTGCTCCAGAGCGCCTGCCTCAGTTTCTTTTGCAGTTCGTCTGTGTTGTCGGAAACTTTTGCTAATTGAAATTCAGTACCGCATGCATCCCGCTTCGGTGCCAGGTGCCGGCACTTTCCTGAGCCTGTCGCTGGAGTTGAGTTTCGATGTGACCCCAGCTGAGAGCGAGGACATGAAGGCCGTCGTGGTTGTACTGTGAGCTAGGTGACGGTGTAATTATGCGGCCAGGTCCATCCCAGCAGCCTGCTACCCCATCGGAAAGATAGTCCGAGCAAGTTTTCTGGGTCGGATGGTGCAGCCACGTCTTTTCATGAGGCCGGCATCTGACGTTGATCTTGCCTTGAATTTCCTGCACTTCGCTTTGCCGGCCCAACTCGATGGGAGGCTGTCCAATGGGGCTGCGAGGCGACGGATGCCTCTAAGGCTTGCTGTGGGTGTTCGATGCACACAACGAGGCGATCTTCAGAGACTGCCCGAAGCTTGGCAGCGTGCCAGCAGCTTGGCAACCGCACTCTTGCTCTGGACAGCATGGATTGGTAATTCGGTTAGTCGTGGCCGTCGTGGGCCGAGGGAAGAGGCCGTGGCACAGCTCAAAGAGGTCGGCTTGAAGATTCTCTTGACGTCTGTTGCCATGGCACTCCATGCTGCATGCCGTCGGGACATCTCGTCCCGCAGTTCTCGAGACGGTGGGTGCGCAACATGCGGAGGTCAACAGCTATGAGGATGTAAAGCAGCATCTTCGGGAGTCGATTGCCTGGCACTTACGTCCCTCGCACAGATCAGGAGGTCTGGTGCGTGCAATGATGCAACGGCCAGATCTGCGTGTTTCGAGAACGACTGCGCAAGGAGTCCCGTGCCACGGAGTATCGTTGAGTGACTATCAACTTGTGCAGGAGAGCTCTGCAGTCCCGGGACGGCCTTTGAGAGGAAAAGCAAGAGAAGACTTCATCTCGAACGCGCCACTCGTCAGCGGTCCACCGTTTGTCAGGCTCGCAGTCGTTTCACCGTTTCGGCATCTCCAGCCAGCAGAGGTATTCCTATTTGCAGCTGACTGCAGCAGAAGTGCTGGCCAAGCTGTACCCGGCGTGTCCTGGCGGCAGAGAGGTGGCCCATGGGCTCCGAATTATACTTTGAATCCACCTCTGCAGGCCCGATGCTAAAGATGAAGCCACGGCCTCAGGAGCCTCTGCCTGATCGCCTGCCTTGGCCCTGACCGTTTCAAAGCCTCCGATGCCCGCAAAGAGGCCGACAGGTTGGCAAGACTCGCATACGAGGCGCCAGACATGGAGCAATGGATCGAAGGGAGCTGTGTAGCTGCATGGCTATGTGTGCAACTACCGCTGCCGGCATACCAGTACAGGCGGAACTGGTCGGCAAGTGGGATCGTGCTGCAGCTCTGTTGCAGCTGCTGGGCTGCAGACGTGCAGAGCGAGCGAATGCGAGCGAAAGGGAGTCACGGCGCTTCTGAGGAATCGCTTCCTTCTCCCGGAGCTCGGCCTGCGCGAGGACCCTTCTGCTGCGGCCCTAGGGGCCACCGCGGCGGGATCCTTCTGAGTATCACTTCGCCGAGTGATTCTTGCCGCTCAGGAGTGGGTGGCCTTCGCCAAGTTCTGTGCAAGGAGACGGGGCCGGCAGGCTGCGGCCGAGGAGGCCCTCTGCCAGGCGCGGCTCTGCGCCGCTCACGCTCTGCTCACGCTCTCTGCTCACGCTCGGCTCACGAGCGAATCGATGGCCCTCCTTTCCGGAGGCGGCCAAGCTGATGGGATCTGGCAGAGAAGCGTCTCCCGAGCTCCAGCTCGAGGCTTCGCTCTCGGCTCTTTCTTTGCACGCTTGAGGCTGCAGGCTCATGCAGGCTCTGGCTGTGCGGAGGTGGAGCTCTTCCTCGGCTGCCTCGTTCTGGTTGGGCTGTCGTTTTTTGCAGCTGTGCCTTGAAGTTTGCCTTGGATTCCTCTCAGGAGCGGGGCCGGTATGAGGAGGCAATTGCGACCTTTCAGGCGAAGCTCGACAAGGCGGGGGCTGGGGCTGTCTGGTGACTTGGTGAGGAGAGAGTTCTTCTCCGCACGCAGGATGTTGCGAATCCAATGTTTCGGTTCCTGCTGGGGCTTGCGCTCTTCGTGCCTCCTGGCAGCCTTTTGGATCCATCGCCGGAGCCGGGGCCTGCACCAAAGGGGCTTGCTGAGGCGATGCAGATTTGATGAGCCAGTGGCCTCAGACCTCATTTCGCGCTGTGGCTTTGGCAAAGTCCGGCCTTTCCGTGCAGGGGCCTTGCCTACCTCGAATCTTCCGGAAAGCCTCGCGAATGGTTCAAGGCCTGCGGCTGGCGCCAACTGAAGCAAGCGACGGAATTTTGCGTGTTTGGCTTGCAGGGCCTTCCTGATGAAGCGGCCATCGTCAACAAGCTCAAGTGTGCTCCCCATGATGGTTTCGGCGCATGATCCGCTGCCAGTTCTGGTTCTGCCTCTCTTGCCCCCTCCCAGCTTTCTCCAAACCCTTCTTGATTCTTTGGCGGTTCCGATTTCGGAAGATCCCTGCCCCGTCCCAGGGCCTTTCGGAAGACAGATGGACCCCCCAATCTTCTGCAGCTGGCGGCCCCGTCCTGAGCCCTCGTCCGAGAGACATCGAGAGACCGAGACGGGGACCGAGAGCTTTCTCTGCCGAAGTTCCAGGGCTTCTTGGAGCAGCTCCTGAGCTTCGGGCTCCCGAGTCTGGTCTTCACCTTCCTAGATCAAACTGGCTTGCTGCCTCAGGACACCCCCATAGAACGCGCTCTTAAAGCATTTTTTTTGTTTTTCTTCCGGGCGTTTCATGTTTCCTGGGTGCAGGAGTGCCTGGCTAGCGAGAGCATGGTGCTGATTGATGCCAAGGCAGTGTGCAAGCGCAAGTTGCTTCTGAGCTGCTGAGAAGTCCAGGACGCAATTCTAGCGATTTAGCGTCTGGAAGATACCGATCGATGTATGTGCAAAGCTTGTGCTTCAATATCTTTGTTGCAGTTCTTGTTTTGGTAACCTCAGCACGACGAACCAGCAATGTGCGAAGTACTTCCGCGCGAGGGTTATGCGACTCCGCATGCTCTGGGCCGTTTTTACCCGGCAGTTGGTGTGTATCCAAGTCGGGCCTGCGCAAGCAAGATGTGGTTTCAACTGAGGGCCTCTTGCCATGTGCAATGTTATCGGACTCCCAGCCGGAGATGCTCAGACGCGAAAGTGTTAAGCATCAGACTCTCCAGAAGGTTCGTGTCCGGTGCCTCGGCACGTGCTTTGCTGAGCAAGAGGAGGAGGAGCTCAAGTTGTTATTCGCACACGCTTCTAAGGTTTTCGCGTTTCTTAACAAGAACAGTCTTAGCTGTGTTTCGTGTGTGATGAACCATGAGGGGAGCAAGAGGACGAGGAGGAGCCTGTCATTCAAAGGCACTGTGCAGAAATGTTCCAAGCGCCTACGGCGATCCGAAAGGGAGTTCACAGGCGACCATACCCATTTGCACACAGGATGTTCCTGGCAACGACGGCCTAAAGCTGGAAGATGCATCGAATCCGGTGGGTGTCCAATCGGACTTATGCAATAGCCGGCTGAGAGCTACTGGAAACTTGGCCAGCGGCAAAATTCCCTCACCGTTCACCTTGGTTGCGGTATCCAGCAGCGCCAACACCATCGCACGGTACGTCTTTGCCCATTTTGACACAGACGAACTGAGCATTGGTCGTTTCAAAGTGGACCGATCCCATCAGGGGAAACTGGGGCAATATGATTCCCCATAAAAATGACCCTTTGTGGGCTGATGAACTCAGCAACTAGGGAAAGGGCCAGGTGGACTATTGCTCCAAGCTGCAGAAACCAACGCCAGGAAGAAAGGCTCCAACCACTCGGAGGTAAGGCTGTCGGTGCCGGAAAGGAACGAGGCGGCTATCAAATGCTACCAACAAGCAGGCTTCTCAAGACACCGGCGTGTCGAGTTTCTTCCCCCCATCCGCGAGCCGTCACATGAAGATTAAATGGCTGCGCATGGAGAAAGCGGTGTCTTAAAGTTAATCTTTCAGGGTTTTACGGCTGGAATGTGTCACTGCGTGTAGCATCTTCACGGGACGAAGGGCAGGACCTGTGCAAAAAGACTGTGCAATCATGTGCAGCGGTGTTGAGTTCCGTGCTGGATGCAGGCCTTGGCTCTGGACCGTGACTGGCATGGGGCCGTCGCACGTGTGGGGCTTTGTCCCAAGCCAAGCCTTGGCATGGCCGTGGCCATGGTCTCTCAGGCATCCAGCCGCTGCTCTCGGAAGCTACCTACGAGGCCGCAAAAGTGCTGAACTCACTCGCTTTCGGGGGGGAAGTCTCGGTCTCCGTCGTTCGGGGAAGTTTTTGCAGGTGTGCAAGCTGGCCGGGGAATGCTACGTTCAGCTGCAGGACTTTGACAAAGCGCTGCAGGCCAAACAGGGCTCTCTTGCTCTGATTGCAGTTTTCTTAATCTTCTGGATGCGGCTTGATCAAAAAGGTCTTGCAGGCAGCACTTGCCTTCGACGACAGGGACGAAGACCCAGCGCTGTACATCAGATTAGGCATGAGGGGGATTCCAAAGCGGGCTGCTTGGGATGGTCGTGGTGCCGATGTGGCCATACGTGGCCCCATGCGCCCAAAAGCCATGAACAGGCTCCGTGCTGCTCGTGAAGAAGCGTTGGAACCAGGCTGCCCTTGAGATCCCTCCCTGCGCTGCACTGCGTGCCGTCTTGGCGTCTTGGAGGCTCGCGACGCGTTCCTCCGATCCATCCAGGCCAAGTCGACGGCAGAGGCCTGGCTGGGGGGGGCCCTGGGCCTGGGCCACCGGTCGTCGTCGTCCGCGACACGTGTGGTGCAGGCATGGAGTGGCGTGGCCTACGCCGAGTTCCGCTCAGACCAACTGTCGAGCTGTTACGAGGCCAGGGAGCCATAGCGAAGTCGCCACAAAGCCACTTGTGGAAGATCTTTGATCTGCGCAATGCTCCTCCGGCGAATGCACAGCCGCGAATGCGCCCGCGCAGGCTCTCTGTGAGGCGAATCTCCTCGACACCGAGCGAACGGACGTCTGGGCCCTCCTCTGCCTGGTGCGCACCTGTGCACAGCGAAGAGTGAAGCTGATTTCGCAGAGTCAGAGTTACTGTAGGGCACTGTACTGGTAGGGATCTGAAGGGGGAACCTTTGAAAGGTCTGAGTCGGTTTCAGAGTCCATATGTGAAGTGCACTGCAGAACTTGGCTCGTGGCGTTTCCTACGGAGGTGCCAACCGAGAAAGCAGCTTCAGCTGCGGTACTTGCACTTGCAGGTAAAACACAAGTAGGCGCTAAACCTGACATGACTTTCTCCTGTCTTATCTACCCGTCAATATGTGGTCACTCTGCAGGCTTGTATGCATTTGGGGCCTGCGACACATACACACATTGCCCGTAGACCGCGTCCGGTCATCCATGCATGTGTGAATAGACACACCAACGAGGCTCTGGCCTTATAGAGCCTCATGGACATGTTTAGAGAGGGAGACAGGCAGGGATGCCCTAGACTCCTAGACGGGAGAGGAAGACTTGACATAAGTCCTTTTTTGGGGTCGAGCTTGGCCTGGCCATGGGTTGCTGTGGCTCGCTGGACAAGGAGTCGGTGGAGAGGCCCTGCTGGGGACCGAATGCACCTCCATGCTTGACTGTTCTCCACATTAGACTTTGTCCATTCGCTAAAGACGTTGAGGCTGCCGGCCAGGTTTGTAGGTCCGTGGCTTGTTAGGTTGTTTTAAGTTGACGTTCTGGAGCTTAGTTCAGATTTCGTCGTGCCACTTCAAGCTTTGACGAAGCTTCGGCGAATGTAACAGTCGCAGGCTCGCGGCAGTGGAGCAGGAGGCAAAGCAATTTGAGTCCGCCACTGGTAGCGATGGCTTGACGGAGATCGGTAAGTGTGCCAAAGAGCTCCGCGACGTTTTTGAGGATGCTGTAGTCCAGAAAGGCAACATGGTGATTGCAGGTCGGGTTGAGGACCTGAGTGACGTTCTCGTGCGAAACCTCATCGGCCGAATCACCGTGGACTTGCTGAAGCCGGGTGCCGCAGAGTACAAGCCAGTTACAGATCGTCTCATGGCGATCGCCACCGACCTGGATGCTGTGCGAGCCACGAAAGCCACTAAGCTGGTGCAGAATCAGCTAGACAGGCAGCTCCAGACCATCACAGCTGCCCTGGAAAAGGCAGTGGATCCTAAAATCACCAAGATCAAGGCCTTGCACGAGCGGCTGAAACAGCCCGGGCAAGAGAAGACGGCTGTCGCGGGTACCAAGGAAATCTTGGACCTCGCGGCGCAAGCGCAGAGCTTGGCCCCCGAGGTGAAGGGCGTGGCGAAGTCACTGTTGGAACCGCTGGTGGGCCACGCGGTGTGGCTTTTGGAGGTCGAGTCCGCCTGGGCCACCAGCGCGGAAGGTTGCGAGGAGGTCCTGAGCCTGGCGAAGCGCATCGACGAGATGGCGACGAAGCTTACGGCAACGCTTGGGGCCACATGGGATCCGCCCATCACCCCTCAAGTCGAGGGCATCAGAGACGACAGCGCCAAGGCAGCCTGTGCCCAGCTCCTGGCCGAAGCCGACAAGCAGCTGAAAAGCGACAACGGCGGTGCGGCCTACGATTGCTTACAGGCGCTCTTGCCCTGGTGGCCTCTGCTGAAGAAGAGCCACTCCCTGGAGATCGTGGGCCTCTTCAGCAAGATGCAAACCTACGCGAGCGAGGCCTTCTTGCAAGCCACCGCCGAGGGACAGACTTCCACCGCCGAGGAGATCCGGGGCTTTGCGGTCCAGTTCGACGAGCTGCGGGGCAAGTTTGACGGCCTGCCGCCCGTGGCTTCGGGTCGTCCTCTGGGAGAAGTTCTCGAGACCGGTGAGGCGAGAGTTCAAGCTGCAAAGGCACTGCAGACCATCGACTCCGAGATCGCCAAGGAGAAGGACGATGACGACACCACCAACTTAAGCCTTGCTGCGACAATCCAGGCTCTGGAATCTCTGGTGGTGGCCTGGCCTACAGCCACTTCCAGCGATGCCGGAGAGCTCCAAAAGCGCATGCTGAGCAGCTGTGCCGCTTTGGAGGCCTGGACGTTCGAGGCCGTCACCAAGGGCCCCGTGAACCAAGTGACGAACCTACTGCAGTTCGCGGCGGAGTACGACGGCCGCCGCGTGAAGCTCGCAGCGCCCGAGGCCGAGGCCGCCGAGGCCGCCGAGGCCGCCGCTTCGGAAGCTCTGAGGCCGCGCCTGGCCTCGGAGGCCGCAAAGCGATTCCTGCAGCAAGCCGACCAGGACTCAAAGCAGAATAAAACACGCACCTCTTTTTTGCCGAGGTAAGGAAAAGAAGACCCAGAACAAAAGCAGCTAGCAAGCTCTCCGTGACGACTGCCCTTTTTTCGTTTTGCTGTGGTCTTGCCAGGAGCTGGCAAAGACCAGCGGGATGAGGGCCAACCTGCTGCTGGAGAGCCTCAAGGCTGCAGCCGCCGCCATCCCGGGCGAAAGCGGCTCACCCGAAGCCCGCACGGTGCTTCTCAGGGTCATGGCCGCCACCCAGGACCGCCGGCTTTTCATGAAAGCTGGCGTAGAGAGGCTTCAGGAGCAGATCATGTGCTTTACGGTTTGCGAGAAGCATGTTCCGCCCTCCTTCCAGTTTCTTTGTGGTGTGCCAGCAACGCACTGCGACTCTGCATCATTCCCGCTCCATTCGGCATGCAACTAGCTGCATCGTGTTTGAGGTGGACCATTCTTGCATCATCATCATCATCATCATCATCATCATCATCATCATGCTCATTGTCATCGACTCTCGTAGCCATCATCATCGTCGTCGTCGTCATCATCATCATCATCACTGGGCCTCAACTTTTGTGGCTGCCTCCAAGCCGAAAGTTGCTGCTGGCAGGACAGGCTTCTTGCATCTTTCGCAGATGTCCTCACTGCCGATGGGGAGAATGAGAAGAAGGAGGTGATGTTGCTGAAGTTTGCAGAGTCTGCTGATGAGGTACAGAAGGCCTGCTCTATCGATGGCATGTCGCTGGTGGAGGCAATGAAGCAGAAGCGGGTTGAGACGACGGAAGAGCTTACAAGCAGGCTCGACGACCAACTATCGGCAGGACTATCCTCCGTCACTGATCTTTGTGCACTTGCGCGGCTTTGCAAGAAACTGCCAAGTACGGAAACTCAGCACTTCCAGAGTGCGGCGGCTGTTGCAGAGAAGTTCCGGCAGGTGGCTGAATCGCAGCCCAGTGTGGCCGAGGAAGCGCTTCAGGGCATAGAAGGTGTTTTGCAGGCTCTTGCAGACTTGGGCTGCGCGACGGACGGATTTCGGGATCACTTGGTCTCTCAGGCAGTGCGCTGAGTTGTTTTACGTTTTTGCATGCAGCGGGACAAGCCAATTTTGATCAGTGGACCATTGCATCATATGGCATCGTTCATGCTTGGCCCATTGGCTACCCTACTACCTGTAGCTAGTAATTCCGTTGTTCTGAGCAAGGTTTCGCGGGCCCATCTGGCCGCAGCACATGGGGAAAGGAATCCAGATGTGCTCGGCAGAGAGCTTCAAGCTCTGGAGCAGATCTGCCGACAGAACACTGTCCCTCCTGCAGTAGTAGAAGAGATTCAGAAATTCGTGGATGAGCTGCCGAAAGTCATGCCGGTCATGATGAAGGAGGTCCTCGTCTCAGTTGTTGTTCGATTCAAGGTTCAGCGACCTCGGAAGGCTTGCTTGTGCCCGAAGGCCACAAAGTCTGGCGCAGCCGCTGTTCTGGATACCGGGGCAGTTGCTGAGAAGCTTGCGGCGGCAGTCAGTCGAGCAGAAGTTGGTTCAGCACTTCTGTCGATGCTGGCCAGCGCCCAGAAGGCGGTCTCTTCCCTGGAGTTGGCCTCCACGGAGTTACAGAAGAGCGCGGGGAGACTTCTCCGCACCAGGTATCCAGATTAATCCATAGCAGGAGCCTGCTCTCAACGGCCCCAAAAGGCCCCCCCCCCCCCCCCCCCGTAATCTCTGCCGAAACCTCTTGAAACCCCGTGTTTTCCTGGCCTTGTTCAGGATGAACCCTCGGACAGTGGTGGGCATCTTGAAAGAGCTGCCTCCACAGCTGCAGCCGCTCCTGGACTGCCAGGCCTACGTGCAAAGCACAGAAGAGGCGCGCCGACAGCGGGGGGGGGGGGAAATAAGCGGCTCAGATTTCAGAATTCCCTTGTGGGTTATAGGTTGGCTGAAACCTTTTGGGACGGAGCCCTCCTTTCAGCTGAGGTGGTGCAACAGTTTAAAGGCAAGTTACGGGACGCCTGCAGCAAAGCTCAAGAGGCCGAGAGGGGACCTAAGGGCAAAAAGGGGCTGTGAGACATGGGCTGTGCCGCGTGCAGCCGTCCCGCCCTGAGGCAGAGGCCTCGGCCCGGGAGAAGAAGGTGGCGGCTTTGCTTCAGCTGGCCAAGGAGGGCGATGCGGCGCAGCAAGCGCTGGCCGAGCTCCCCGGGAGCCCCTTCAAAGTGGACAGCTTCGCCGTGGTCATCCTGGGCTTCGCGGCTCAGAAGAGCCTGGAGGCCGTGGAAGCCGAGCTCTCGAAGGAGAAGGGCATGAACCCCAAAGCTGTCCTTGCGGGACTCCAGGCGGTAACCAAAGAGTTGTCAGCCGATCCCGAGAGCCCGGACACCGCCGCACTCCGAAGCCGAGCCACAGAGAGCTGCGAGAAAGTGAGCAAGCGGATGATCGAGTCCTTGGAGGATGCCGTGCAGGCATCCAACGAGGCGAAGCAGAAGGCACTGCTTAGCTTCGCCAAGGAGTTCGATGCCGCCTGCGATGGTCTCACAGGAAGCTCCCTGGAGGCTGAGCTGCAGACACGCGCACGCATCTAGAGTGTAGAGCCCTCAACCACTGACAATGCTCAGTGACGAGTGGGACTCATGCACGTTGAAAGAAGAAGGACGACCTCCCTCGACTCCAGTTGGAGTGTGTCCTTTCGCACCACGGCAGAGTCTTTGCCACCAGCTCTCCTCGGGCAAGATGCCCGTGGCACAGTCACATGGCGCAATGACCGCTTGGTGTGTGCATCCAGCAACCGCGCGAAACGAACAATGGGCAAGAGGACAGCCCTGCTCCGCCGGCTCCATGCCGCGGGCCCCCTTGCTTAGCAGTTGCGCTGGGATCTGCAGGTACATCTCCGAAATGAGAACTGGGATGCGGCGGATCACGTGTGCAGGACTCCACATGCATGCTGCAGCACCATCCGCGGCCCGCATCATCTGTCACGCTTGGAGCAGGCAATGTCTCAGCCTTGAGCCAGAGACGGAGCTGCTCCTGGAGGCTCGGGATACCGTCCACCGTTTCCTGCCGCCATGATTGATTTACTCGCACTTGAATACTGCATGGTACAAATATCATGCTGCGCAGCACGACTTAACTTTGTGTGGAGCGACAGGTCGCGACTGAGCTGCAGCGCAAGGAGAGGCAGATGTCTTTGGCCGAGGCGCCTACTTCGAGGATACTTTTCCGGGTTCGTGCCACAAGGGTTTCTACGATTCTACAATGAAACGACAATGGTTTAAGTCGGGTAAATTATACACTAGGAATCGAGGCTTGTTTGGGATTGAGGACAACTTTTCGGACAGCCCTTGCCCTTGCCCTTGCCCTTGCCCTTGCCAGGCCTGCGCCAGACGAGCTTTGGAAAGCAAGGACACGGGCCAGGCAGCGAAGAAAATTCGTGGCAGCAGCCAGGTCAGCTTCCAAACAAATGTGAGAGTTTCAGAAAAAAGAGGATCCCTCTGATATAGAATGCAAATGGTAGAATCCTTATAGTCAACTGCTGCTACTGCTACTGCTCCTGGGCTCCTGCTGCTGCTACTGCTGCTGCTGCAGCTGTGTCTGCTATGTACTACTACCGCCACCACCGCCACCACCACCACCACCACCACCATCATGACCGGCTTCATGAGAATGCACATGCCAAGAGATGCAGCATTGAAAAGGGCCACAGCGTGCTGGCGGACGTGCTGGCACAAATGGGCAAGGCGGATTCCCCTTTGGCTTCTCCTGGCATCAGCGTCCTTGCGAGTTCTGCGCAGGCCGAGGCATCGGTGCTGGAAGCGCAGGTGGCCCTGAAGATGCTCGCAGATCAGCCAGACCTGCGTAAGGCACCAGTCGGAGCCAGGGCAAGGATAGGGGGAGAGGCTTTGGGCCCGCAGGTGATTTTCTCCAAGGCCTTGAAGCTCTGCCAGGACAAAGGGCGATGGAGTGTGATAGAGACAGGGTGAGCATCGCGTCCGTCGCTGGCACTCGCTGACCTGGGCCAGGAGCTGGAGGACGCACCTTTGACAGAGGCCCTGCACGCCTGCCAAAAGCTGGCAGATGTGAGCCCGGCACCTTGTCGCCTCTTCTCGCTGAGCATGTCCACTTCCGTGAGTTCCCGCATGCCAGGAGCAGGCGAAGCAGCCGGCGGCATAGAAAAAGGGTCCTGCGCAGACCCGCGTGGAGATCTCGGCACCAGAGAAGCTGTATCACTTGGCCGGGCAGCGGAGAGACGAACGCTGCCTGGTGGGTTTCACCCTGCAGAGTTCCCAGTCACCCCTGGCAAACTCAGGCAACCTGGGCTTTGCCGGATTAAAGACGACTGTAAGCATATTCACAGGATTGACTCTCTCCGTTGCTCTATCCGATCTGTCAAGACATGAGGCAGTTTCCCCTGGCCAAACAATCTGCTGTAAGTAGGTAGCTAGGTCTGGGGTGCTGGGTGCTGCTGCGCAAGAAGCGCGCCCTGCATGCGAAAACGCGATCAACCTGTGCACGAAGTCTTGGCAGACGAGCCCCAAACTTAATCGTAAAATGCCAGAGCCTGAACTGTGAAACCTGAACGGCTTAGCGGCTCAGGTGTCCGTAGCCGGAGCTCTGAAATGCCTTGACGGCGGCTCAACTCGGAAAGTCTCGGGCAATGCCCAGGAAACCTCAGTAGCATGTGCAAGCAGTGCATGGCCGTGCCGTCACGACGGCCTCCCTTCAAAGCACGTAAAGCCAGCGACGAACAGGATATAATGGGATCTTTCTCCCCCCAAAATCCCAAGCAAGCGATGCTCGGCCTTCGGCGAGGGGCTTGGAGCGGCATGCGGCTGTGGCGAATCGGTCCGAAGGAGAGCCTCCAGGTTTTTCCTGTTCAACAACTTAAAGTCGTCCCTGTTTGTAGGCTCGCTTCCTCTCGCTTCGCTGAATTGTGAAGGTCGCAGGAATTGCGACATGTTTGCAGGCCGATGCAGTTCGAGTGGCAGCTGCGCGGGACTTAAGACTCCAGCGGCAAAAGCTGTAAGGTTTAACATTGCGGCCATCCCGAGCTTTCGACAGTCACAGGACTTGGAGAGGAAGCTTTCTCAGCAGGACTGGCGCTGTTGCAGCGAGACACGTTTTTTGCAGCGATGAACGGAGGGGTCTACGCTTTCTGAGCCGTTTCTTGCGCCGCCGCGCAGAGCTTCTGTTCCCAAGACCCTGGCTCGACTGCTGCCCCCGGTGTGATTTCCCCATATCAGAAGAGGCTTGGAATGGAGAGCTCTATTCGGGGCTCCCTGGGCAGCTGCGCTTCGGCCGCTTCGGTTGGAGACTCCATCCTGAAGCAGCTCGCGGGTCTGGAGCAGTCGCTCTCCTCCAACCTCACCGGGCTTCGGCAGATCCGTGCCACTGTTGCCGCGATGGAAGGGAAGCCGGAGAGTCAGAGTCAGGCAGCGACTCCGGCGACTCCGGCAGCTGCCGCTGCAAAAGCGGTGTGCGAGGGCGACAGACAGGAGCAAAGGAGCACGCTTCTCGAGACGAAGTGGCAGCTTCGACGCATCCATTCCAGCACTGCTTGGTTCACCGCGCCAAACCTGGGGTGCCTTGCCTCAGGAGCCAGGCTCAGTGCGAGCACTGGGCGGCTTGGACGGAGTCTCACGTCTGGGAAGGACCGAGCGTGTGGGTGAACGTAGCCGAGCCCAAGTCAGGACTATCTTGACTGCCTCCAGCTGTGGCAGGAAAGATACCTGGCGAACTTAGCAATGAATGCCGGAAGCTTACTGTAGCTGCAATATCAGAAACATGCCTCTATCCCACTGCATTGCTGCAAAGGTCTGCTTCCCGAGTCGTGTCCTCCCCGCAAGCGCGCGGTGACCTTCACCGCGATATCGCCGATGCAAGAGCAAGAGACGAATCGGGCACGGGATCGGCACACCTTGGCGACGCACCGACTGTCGGTATTGAATGCCATCTCAGAAGCAAAGTCTGTCCCTGCACCACTGGAGCCAAGCAAGAAAAGCGTCTTTTTCGATGCCAGCACGCTCAAGAAAAAACTCAAGGAAGACTTGTGCAAGGACATTGGGACATGGGTTGACCCACGCGAGATGTGTGCACTGCCAATGAAGACATGTACATGCTGTGAGTTTCAGTCTTGATGCTCCTCAGTGCTTGGTGTACACTGCTCCCTGTGTCGGATCCCTTGAGTCGTAGTTTCCTTTAGCTGTGAGTGCCGTCCAGCAAAACATGCGCATTTGAGTGCGCACAGTGAAGCCGCGTTCTGCATTGAAGCATCGTTGCCACAAGACACGCAACGTGTACACGCATGTCTCTGCACACATGCACAATATCGTATCTTACCTAATCGCACTGTAATGCATAATGTATACACCATGCCTTGTCATGTGTTTTCCGCGAGCACCTGCAGTGGCCAGCAGGAGACATACAACGTCAGTGACTACTATCGCAATGAAGGTTTTTGTCGTGATCTCAGAAATGTACTAAGAATAAACCAGATCGACTTGCCAATCGCTTCGTGTGTTCTGCAAGGTCAGCGGGTCGCCAGGAGTCGTGTCTTCGAGCTCATCACCTTTGTTATTTTGGCGAGCAATGCCATTTGGACAGGCCAATCTTGTCAGTACAGACCTGCATTGGCAGGGACGGTGCTCTACTTAGAACCCACCTCTGTGAATTTGCCAGGCGTTGAGATCGAAGTCAATGACGCACCGATCATCTTACAAGCGCATGCTGCCGTCATTCTGATCGAGAGCTTCTTTGTGCTTTATTTTACGCTTGAAATTGGACTGCGTTTTGGTGCGTTCAAGAGGAGCCGAATGTTTTGTGATGTTCACTCCTGGAATGCATTCGGAATGCATGCATACAGCTCGCATAGCGCGTCCAGTCATTCAGCGTCCCCATGTGCGCAGCCTGCGAAACCTTGTCTGGAAGGACTACTAGACTCACTAGACATGTAAGGTCGCAGCAGCGCAGAAGCAAGAGGCATCAGCTCCCTGCGAGGACATGCGATGCCTGTCGCGATGGCTGGTTTGCCTTCGACACGGTGCTTGTCATTCTGATGTGGTTCGAGACCTGGTTGCTGTCCCTTGTCCAGATCTTCTTCGGTGATATCTTGAACTCCTCGAGTTGCTTCTCTGCATGTACAATACGATGGTCTTCTTTGGTTGAAGACACTGGGGTGACTGGTGCTAGTTACTGGCAGATGCGGTAGCTGGCAATCGTAGGTGCGCTTCCTTGCAGGCTTCCGTCTGATTCGGCTGCTTCGCCTCACGCGGATGGCAAGGATGGCTCGACTTCTCCGAAGCGTGCCGGAGCTCTTGATCATTGTCAGAGCTATCGCCATTGCCTTGCGATCGGTGTTTTTCTTGATGGTTCTTCTCTTCGGCCTGGTTTACGTTTTCGCTCTCCTCTTCAGCCAGCTCTTCGACGGCAAGAACCAGCCACCGGGACTGCCGGGATTGCATGAGAGAGAGTCTTCTTGAGGCTTCTTTGGGTCATCTTTTCTGCAGCTTTCGTGCTTTGCAGGAACTCTGGCGCACAAGAGCTTCGGAAGCTTGCCACAGGCGATGAACACGCTCCTCATGGCCGGGGCGCTCCCGGACCAGTCTTCCCTGGTCGAAGACGCCGGCGCCTTTCACTTCCTGCTGTATCCTCTGATGCTCCTCTACATGCTCCTGGCCTCACTCACCGTCATGAACATGCTTGTCGGGATTCTCTGCGAAGTCGTGAGCGTGGTGTCAGCCGTCGAAAAGGAAGAGATCTTGCTAAAGTCCGTGAAGACCCACCTGAAGCAGCTGTTGCTGGATGCCGAGGCAGACGAGGCCTTGCCTGTTGCACACCTCCCTCTCTCTCACTCTCTCCCTCCCTCCCTCCCTCCCTCCCTCCCTCCCTCCCTTTGTCCCTCCCTCTCTTTCTTTCTTTGTTGCTTTCTTGCTTTCTCCTTCCTTGCTTTCTTTCTTCCTTCCTTTCTTTTTTTCTTTCTTTCTTTATTTGTTTATTTCCTTCTTTCCTTCCTTCCTTCTTTAAGTAATGATACAGCGTATATGTATAATATACATATGCATGTAGGTATGTATGTATGTGTACATGTATGTATGGACATGTACATGCACATGTACGTGCATATGCATATGTATATGTACATGTACATGTATATGCATTTGCACATGTATATGTATACGTATATGTACATGAGTATGTACGTGTATAGATAGCTAGACAGCCAGCCAGCCAGCCAGCTAGCTAGCTAGCTAGCTAGGTAGGTAGATAGATAGATAGATAGGGAGACACTTTCCGCTACCTTTGTTGTCACTTGTGCCAGGACGGCGATGGCAGCATCTCCCGACGAGAGTTCGACAAGATGCTCACAAATCCCACGTGTGTCCGAACTCTGAATGAAGTTGGGGTCGACGTCTTTGCCTTGGTGGACTTGGCCGATTTCATCTTTGAGCAGAAGGATCACCTAGACTTTGCGGCATTCATGGATGTGGCTCGTGGCAGTATGATGTCTTGATAGTTCAAAGCTTTCTTGGAGCAGTGTTTGTGCCAGACTTGCAGGCTGTTCTGCAGCTAAGAGGAAGCAACACTGCGACCGTAAAGGACCGGCTCAACAGATCTGTTAAGCTTTGTGACAATTCGACGGCCGTAAACCCCTGCCAGGACATTGTAGATCTGCAGAAGCTCATCGTGAATCATTTCAAACTGATGGAAGACGTAATTGCTGAGCTTGCCGGCAAAAGTGGCCAAACACCACCGATGCTTGCTTAGCCGGGCTTTGCATTGCCAGTCACATGCCGCTTAAATGGACGACATGCCGCACCTGGCTTTCTTCTCCCAATGCTGGGTGGAATGCGTGTTTTGATGGGCTGGCCCGTCGTCACTGCATTTTTTCACTGGAGTCTTTAGCTGTTTCAGTGTGGGTGCAATAGTGCAGATCGTTTCGAACAGAGCAGCTTGGTCCGACTGAAGGCTCTGGCGACAATCTGAATTCGTACCTGCAAACAGAAGCATCCGAGATGCTGATGCATGGGGTTGCGGTGGCCGTTCGGAAGCTAGACCTCCAGAGATGATAGGAGTGCAGGCTTGTCTTTCAAGATACTGATACTCCTCTTCTTATCCTTTAGAGTCGTGTCGCGCAGCTCGCAAGCGCGCAGGGGCCGAGCCTCTGCAAAAGGGTTTCCTTAGTTTTCTGCTTCTCTATCTCCTCTACAAAGCGGCAGTGAAGCTGTGTTGTCTTTAAATTCGCAGCGACTCAGGTCCTGCAACCAAGCTGCGGGATCATGCGGAAAAAAGAGGGCGGTTTGCCTGGCTTTCCATGGCTTCCACTTTTGGAGTTTTGCAGACCAACCCCGACGTCAGCTGCAGGACCCTACCCGTCCTCTGGAGATGGAGGTGTTTGGGACGAATGCTACCAAACTTGCGCGAGCCCCTGCCTACGGTTTAGGGTTTAGGGTTTAGGGTTTAGGGTTTAGGGTTTAGGGTTTAGGGTTTAGGGTTTAGGGTTTAGGGGCCTACAGTCGAAGCTGACAGCTGAGTGTCGGTCTGTTGCTTTACCAAGGTGATTCGTTCCATCGCTGCACAAGCCGCCCTCGTTAGTGACCAGAGTACGAGGTGAGGCGATCCCAAGATCTTGAGCACTCTGTAGTAATATAAAAGTAAAATAAAATAATATAATGCAATATAATAGAATATAATAAAATAAAATAAAATATAATATAATATAATATAATATAATATAATATAATATAATATAGTATAATGTAATATAAGGCAGGATGCTGCATGATGGAAGGCTGGCGGGTCGGCTTGTGTTGGCGGTGCGAAGGAGCAACAACAGCTCGGAGGCTCGGAGTGTTCGAGATTCAGCTAATGCCGTCTCGAGAACGGTCTCCGAATACATAAAGCAGCGGCTGAGGGTGGATGCACATTTCCTTGTGGAGGTGGGGAGTGGGGGATGTCGGTGCCGAGAAGCTTGTCACAGGACGCCGGAGATCGCCGCGGCCTGGAATTTCGAGTGCACGCTGTCCAAGGTGCCCTATTGCGGCATCCGACTGTGAGCCGATAGCCGGATATAGCCGGATGTCGCACCCTTCGAAAGGCCTGCCTCCGGCTTGCAAGAGCGAGATCCGAGTGGCGTCCTCCTTGCCTGTTTTGCTTTGGAGGTTCGGGGCGTTTGGGTTTCGGAGTTTCAGGCGGGAGACCAACGTTGGCAAGCTGGCCGGAGCTATCGCCCAGAGGATCCGGGAAGATGGGGTGGCCCTGGCAGGGGCCCCATATACCAAAGGCATCCAAGGACAGACCCGAGATGAAGCCCAGGTGCGTGGCGCAGGCGCTGTGGCTCTGAAGCACCAGCTTCAGGCCGTCGCTATCGCGCCTGCTTCCCAGTGCAGCGTGCTTTTGGCGTCTTTGTCTTTGGACACCTGGTATCTGTAGGTCCGGCTACCTGGAAGAAAGGGATGAACTCGGTGGCCATGAATTGGTGGCTCTGCCACGATACGAGGTGGGCTTCAGGGAAGCGACTGCTGCACCGGAAGCCTTTTGTCGCAGGACCTGGTGGATCCTTCGGGCGGACGTGGGCAGATGTGGACGGAGTTTGCACTGACAGTCTACAGGCTTCCAGTCTCCTAGGTCTTGAACAACGGTGGGCTCCCTGCAACGATGGATCGGAACTCCGATCCCAATGGCCCTAAGTTGAACAAGACGAGATGACTGGAAACCTGGCAGAAATCAGCAGCCATCTTCCAAGACATGCCAGGGAGGGCTCAGAAGACGACGAGGTGATTCCCAAAGTCCTGGGAAGGGTGCGCCCTGACAGAACCGCTCCTTCCCCTACGCTGTTTGTGCGAGCCAAACTAGCTTCGCCAGGTCTTGATGTAATTTCGCACAGAGGGTGTGCCTGAAGGCCGAAGCATGCCGAAGCCGATGAGAAGACGGTCGGAATTGATGTCCATCGTCGATGGCTCTTCCAGTCGGTTCACTCGGCAACCTGACAAGCTGAAGCTGAGACACCCACGTTGTCGGGACATACCGGGACATGCAACTCTGCTCCGAGTATGACCACCTCCAATGACCTCCAATACGTGAAGAGTCTTGCGGAGAGCGCAAGTTTCTACAGTACGGCCCTTCGTACAGACATGGAAGCTTTGCGGCGATGGTAGCCAGGCAAGCACAATATGTTGCAGAAAAAGGGATGCATGGCCCTGTCCCCCCTCTTCTTGACAATACGGTTGTATCAGTTTTTGGGATTATGAATGACCCGTGGCTGGTGGAAGCCGCGACAGTCAGCATGCGTTTGGTGAGCTGGAAATGGCCCCAGCTATCACACTCGAACAACTGCGGCAGCTGCAGCACAGATCGAGACTCCGCCCAAACGGGTGACAGCACCACATTTTGGGTCCTTATCATAATACGGCACCTATTATTTAGGGTACCCCAAAAGGGACCCTAATTTTGACAACCACCCACATGTCGTGTTGCATTGCTAGAGTCTCCCAGAGATGCTTGCCACCTCTGGCCGCTTGAAGGTGCCTTCCAAAAACATCTCAAGGTCGGGCTTTGGACGGGTTGCCTTGGAAGGAAGCGGCCTCAGAAGGTCAATGCAAAGTCCAGTCGAAGCTCGGGCTCCAGACCTGTTCACATGAAGCCCGTGAATCGCCGGTTTTTGTTTCCAGAGGGTGCCAACATAGATTGGCGGCACTCCAGTTTGGACCAAAGTTTCATTTTCGTTGCAGCAGCCCGAACCCGTCGCGGGTCTGAGCACTTTGGCGAACAGATTTTCGAAGGATGGGAGTGTTCGCTGCCGTCGCTGCTGCCGGTTGCCTAGCCAGCTGAAGCGGCGACCCTATCGCTGTCATGCTTCTGACACCAAATGCGTCAGATCTTGTCGGATGGATCTTCCCGGAAAACATGCGTTCCGGGGCATACCAAATTTCATTGCCCGCTTCGTCTTGAGATCCTTTGCGTTGCGTGGGACGTGCCCTCAGCGAGGGCGGTATGATCAGAATTGTGTTTCTGCGCAGCAGGCCAGAGGCTTCTAGAGAGAACCTAAGGACGTGGTGCTTTCCTTGACGTCCGTGTTGCTAAGAACTTCAGGCATCGCGGAGCCTTTTCAGCTCAAGAAGGCGCCAAAGCCGCGCCTTTGTCAGAGCTCATGGAGGCCCCAGCCCCAGCCTCGGTCTCGGCTTCGGCCTCGGGGTCTTCGCCTTCGGCGCCTGGCGGTGGCAGGATCCAGAACGTGCGCGGCTCAGGGAGGGCATCGGCGGCTGGCGGACTTGCGGCGCTTGCGTGAGCATCAGGTGCCGCCGGCAGCTGTCGCCTTGCAAGCAAGTCTCGCTTCAAGCGATGCGGTTGCGTGCAAAACCCCACTGACAAGCGTGAGGCACTTGCTCGGTTGCATGGCAAGTCACGATGGGGCATGCTGGTTCATGTTGATCATCCTCAATGTTGGGTTTGTTAGGGCGCGGGCCATCACGGCGGGTTTCATGTTTACGGATGCCTGGCTGCAATCGACCTTTCGTGGCAGCATGCACGACAATGGGTCTTTTTACTCCAGGCTCGACGTGCGAAGCCGAAACGAGACAGCTACTCAGGCATCCTGGTCCCACCAGCCGTAGCCCCAAAACCTGCTTTGATTCAGACTCGTCCTGTGGGAAGGCATCGTGGCAATGCTGGATGACTTCTTTCCCGTGAGTTGTGTCTTCCTCGCAATTCCCACGTTGCATGATGTAAAAAGGCACATTTTCCGCGTCACTATCTTCGAAGTGTGCCGAGGTGTTCTGAGGAAGCATGGCTGCTGGCCGAAGAAGAAGCGGCAAAGTGGATGAGAACACCTTGACGAGATGACGCGCAGAGAGCTTCCAGCTGCAGATCCCGAAGGATGCACGGCCCTTTGCGCAAGCCGTGGCCTTCGCCGAGCGGCAACGTGACATATCGCGACCCTGAGGAGGGCGCGAGATGTTGGACTGCACAACCTGAGCCGTCCTAAGCAAAGCCAGCGCCAGGATCCCAAAGCCAGGGGTCCGATCATGGCTTGCATCATGGCTTGCTGTTCTTCGCACTTGTGCTCCATGCCGGATTGCTGAACCTTGGCCGAGACGCTCACAAGGGGCAAGTCCGAGCTCCGTCTGAGCTTTTGGTGAAAAAAGGCATCGAAAGGCCCTTCCATCAAGAATCGTGCTGACATTTCGTCATGCATCATGCTTCGACGAGTTGACATTTCCTGACTGTCCAGCAATCTTCAAGCATGCTTCCGCGTGCAAGCTGCATCGTCGTAGACAGTTCTGCATGGTGTAAGTTCATATGGTAATTATGCAGGATTCGTAGACTTCCGCAGTACCAAAGGATGACGAGCCATGCTGGACGTGAAGGATCTCTTCTCGCCAAAGCGGAAGCGTCTGCTGCGTGGCGAACTTGAGCCCGAGGAGGTTTCGGGCATAGGCCTGCCCCTGTCCTGGCGCCGCTTCCCAGATCCTGCAGCTCGGTCCTTGCTACAGAGTCAGGCCAATCGAGCTTGGGACGTGCTGGGCACTTGTGGAACGTCTTTGAAGAATTGCCAAAAGGACTTCTGCACGAGCCGAGATGTCTTGCGCCAGTGCCGCACGCAGCTAGAGGCTCACGTGGCCTGCAGCGCCGCGGTTTGTGACCTGCTTGCGGGGAGGTGGTCGGATCCCACGGAGGAGGATTGGGCATCCGACACGATATCTTGTCGACCGGCGGCAGCATCGAGGCCACGGTACTGCGTGGGCCGTGTTCGGTGCTTCTTCTGCCGTCAGCGCGCCTCCTTGGAGCAGGAGGAGGGGGAGCTGGGACCGGGGGACGATGCATGGGACCTCGACTCTGCTGTGCTGGCCGACATCAGCTGCACGGCCTCCTCGTCGGATGGATTCCACGTCGGCACAGAAGGAGGCGACGGAGACGACATGAGCCAGGTAGATCAGGAAGCGGAGGCGTCGCCGATAACGCGGCGGCGGAGGCGGCGGACGTCCCGAGAGCGGGGGCACCGGCGACTGTACAAGTTGAAGCGAATCCAGGCCGCTTCTATGCCGACCTGGTATGCCACCCACACTGTCGAGCCCGTGTCGGATCCTCCGAAGCTGGCCCCCAGCTTGCGAGATCAAGGTCACAGCGAGCGCAGCATGCGCAGCATGCGCAGCGGCAGCAGCGGGCGTTGCAGCCCAGTGAGTCGAGAGTCCAGTGGAAGGAAGGAGGCCTGGTTTGGGAGCGACTGGGCTGGTGCGTGCTGCGCACTTCTGCTTTTGATGCCAGGCAGTCCGGGAGCATTCGGTGGAGCAGAGGCGCCCTGGACGCTTGTCAGACTCTCATGCTCTCACACTCTGCCGAGGACTGAAAGGAGCGTGAGCAAGGCTGGAATACTGCGAACAAGCGACATCTCAGTGTTTCTGTCCGCGGTTAGTTTCAAGAGCTCGAACCTTGAAGGAGGTTCTTGAGGACGATGCTCCGCAACGAGAGCTTCCAAAAGGGGCCGATGCTGCAGAGCTGGAGCCATACACCACAGCCGCTGCAAGGCACGCGCAGAGTCGCCGGGTTTGGAGGAACTGCGCATTTTCCCCGTTATCTCTTTCAGGTTTCGCGCGGAGATGGGGTTCCTGGACATGCCCCGGGCTCGGAGCTGCTAAGAGCTCCGTGAGCTCTTGTTTCTTGTCGGCTTGGAGGTCCAGCTTTCCGGGCAGCCCCGAAGTGCCCATGGTGTCCGCACCGTAGCCGCCCCGGTGATGCTTCGGGCTGGGGCTGCTGCTGTTTCGGAGCCTGTCAGGCACAAAGGCATGGGCCAAGATTCACCCGCATCGCTCTTAGATGTCTTTCAATGCAGTGACGTGAGTGTAGTAGCATATATATATATATATATATATTTATATATCGGCTTGCAGCACGGCCGTGGGCCCCCCAGGAGAGGGCTTTGCCTCGGCCGCCGATGCTCCTAGCAGACGTCGAGGTCGAGGCTCTCTTGCCCTCGGCCTCAAACCGCAGAATCCCATATTGTCATATCCTGTAAAAAGTACCTTTTCCTTACAGAAGTGGGGTGATAAGTAGGGAAACTATCCCATGTTAGGAGACTTATACCCCCACGGTACCCTGCAAAAGTATCCTTTCATGGGGGTTTAGGGTTTAGGGTTTATGGTACCCTGCAAAAGACCCTCGTACTAAACCCTAAACCCTAAACCCTAAACCTGCAAAAGACCCTCTTAGTACTCCGCAGATCTTGGGCCAGGCATGGCAGCGGCTTGCGCCGCCGGCTCCGCCTCCCTCGGCCAGCCACGCACGGAAGAGTCGGCCTGAGCCTCAGCCCTGGCAGAAGAATAAGATACAGTATGGGAGTTTCCGAAAATATGGGGGTACCTTATTTTGGGTCCTTATAATAAGGATCCTATTATTTAGAGTACTATATTAGGGTCCCCTATTTTCGGAAACCCCATATTCGTATAACATAGCGTAACATGGCAGTTAATCTACTATACAATCAGTACTTGATTATAATATGAATACAATAAAGTATATATAATACACTATAACGCAGTACAATAAGAAATACAACATGATACAGTATAATACAAGAAAACACAATAGAACACATTAAAATTAGAATACAACATAATACAACGTAATATAGTACAGCAAAAATGTAATAGAAGAAAATAGAATAGAATCAAATAAGCTGATCTAGTACAATATAGTATTATATGGTATGGCATAATACAAATTGCATTATATGATATAATGGATTATATATTACATTATATTGCATTATATAGCATATTAGATTCTGGCATTTCCTTACAGTAACTTGGCAGAAACTGTGCTTGCTATGTTTCATGTGTAACATGCTCGATCCCTAGGTACAGAAATTGGACCGTGCACGTTTCTACAGTTTTCGCCTTTCTTTGTTTGGGAGACACGGCATTAGCTAGGTTTCGTGTGATGGATGAACCATTAGAAGAGGCAGAGGAGCAGGAGGAGGAGGAGAAGGAGGAGGAGGAGGAGGATGTCATTCAAAAGCAGACCGAGAATATTCTGGCGGAAGTCTAGTCTAGTCTAGTGAGTGCAGTGTGGTATAGGCAGTGCAGCGTGGTATAGTATGGTATAGTATGGTATAGTATGGTATAGTATGGTATGGTATAGTATTAACTCTACCCAAAGCATATCTCGGATCGGACGAAGAACCCAGGTCGGATGGTTTGACGTTGGAGGATGCGACTCCGACTCATTAGCTCTGACCGCACGGCAGGGAAACTTGCTTCCTACAGCCGAGGAGCTTTCCTCCGGCCCTGAGATCCCCGTCGCCTGGAGATGGACTCTTTGCACCTTCAGGCGGCGCCGGGTTGGGCCTGGGCACTGGTTGGCGCCCTTGTGACTTGGGATTCAGGCTTCTCAAGGGGTGCCCCTTGAACAAGCAAGCCGTTCTCAAAGGCAGGAGCCTCAGTTCGGATGCCGCCTGAGCAGAGTCTGGAGCCGGCAAAGGCTGGGCAGCCGCTGCGAAGAGGAGGTTCGCCACTCATCATTCCCCGTTTGAGGGATCCGGTCCAGCACTGCAGTGAGGCAAAGCTCGTCTGCAGCAGCCATCGGCGCTGTGCACCAACCTTCGGTGGCAAGGTGGATGCATGTACGAGCTGATATGGCAGAGTGCCTCCACGTTCTGGAAAATGGACCCACGGTCAGCTGGGACTTAGGATGGCATGAGACAATCGTTTTCAGAATCCCTCCATCCGCAGGCCGGTCCGGCACTTGCAGAGCTCTGCAGATGCCCCAGAGCGCGAAGCGAGTTACTAGGAACGATGCAGCGAGGCGAAGCGACCCCCCTCCCCCTTTGGCGAATGTGCCAACTGGCCCATTTGTGCAGTCCGAGGATCCCAGTCCAGTGCCAGAGGATGCGAGACGCCCTGGCAGCGGCTTGCGAAGTCGTGACGGCTGAGACCGCTTCTCGCTGCGGGCAGTGTGAGAGGGAGTCCTCCGAAAAGGATCGAGTGGAAGGAGCCGGATACGAGGCGGCGAGAAGGGAAGATGTCGACTCGGCCGTGAAGAGCCGTAACCCCCGAGCCCCCGAGCCCGTAGCTCGCCGAAATCCGTGAACTTGCCTGTGGCCCACGTGCAGCGGCACAAGGCTGCGCAACAGTGCTACTGGTGTGGTCCCGTTGTCTCCATCTGCGGCAAAAGAAGCAGCGCGAGAGGAGCTCGCCAGAGAATGTCAACAAAGGGACATCATCCGATTGAGCATCTTGCATCACATGTCTTGGGAATGCAAGTCCCTGCGTCAGGTGTTTTGCGCAAATGCCGGTGACTCCAGGTGTGTGCTGGCCAGGTGCGGTTCGTTTCACAGAGAGTCTCAGCTGTTGCTGAACGGCTTGGCAGGGGAGGCCGTGCTCAAAACCTGTCACGAGATCACAAGCCCGAGCTGAAGAGCGAGCACAGGCGGATCACGCAGGCAAGAACGGGAGGGGGAAAAGCGGGGCGTGGTATCAGACCCCATCCCTGACCTCCTGCGTGTTTCGGAGCAAAGTCGTCTTGAGCACAGGCCGGTGGCTTCGTTTCTGCCGATGGCCGCGTTGACGGTAACCTGGTGGGCTCCTCGGGAAAACGTGCGAGAGAGAGAGAGCCCAGCCGAGCCTATCGTCTGCTTCAGAACCTGTCGCGCTCCCTCGGAGACTTTGCTTACAAGAAGGATGCATCCATCAAGGCCCGACTCCACCGCACAAAGAACTTCCGTGGGATGAATCTCGAAGCCTAGTTTAGTAGCAGCGCATCCCTTGTGGGAAGCAACAGGATTTTTTCGCACGGACTTTGTGTTCTCTTCCTGTCTTCCGCCAGCTTTGCAAGGCCACCGAGCAGAAGATCTCAGCAGAAGCCGAGGCAAGTGACGCGGGAACCGAAGTAATCCCTTTTCATTTCAACACCCCAAAAGGAGCCTAAACCCTAAACCCTAAACCCTAAACCCTAAACCCTAAACCCTAAACCCTAAACACCCCAAAAGGAGCCTAACCCTGCGGGTTCCAGGTCAAGAGAAGGGGCCTTGGCCCTGCAGATCAGTACCTCGTCATAGGCGCGGACGTCTTTCGGTTCCATGGGCCAACACTTGTACTTACACCTGGTTCAGGGTGTAGGGTTCAGGGTTTAGAATAGTTGCACGAATACAAAAGGGCTAGGATGATATCTGCAATGATCTGTGGGCAGTAGGATGTGAGCCTGTGATCGGCCCACCACGCAGCCACCAACCATGCGCCAGTAAGGTAAGGTACCAGATACTGAGATCCGCCATGCAAAACCGTAGCCTGACCGTTGAGGCTGCGATGGGATATTTGAGAAGTTCTCAAGCCGGGAGCCTTCAGTCTTTGCACTTGGGGACATAGCCACCTCTTGTGGTTTCCCACGCGTGAACCACAGAGCAGTTGTTCATGATTTGGGTTGCTCTCTTTCATAGATGGTGAGGATGCTCAAGGATGCTCAAGGTATGTTGCGCAGCATCGTGTTGCAGACGCAGACAGCTCATGGAAACTGGTGCTCGAGTTGTCGCAAGCACCGTTCAATGAGGTCAAGAGTTGATCAACTTCCTGCTGCCGCACCTTAGGCTCCATGCTTCCTGCAAGTCTCTGATGCGACTGCTCCCGTTGTGTACTTGTACTACTGCTATCAAGCCCACCACCACCAGCAACCACATTCACGTCAACAGCAACACGAACAACTGCATGTGGAGGCGTCGGCGGCGAAGTCAGGCGCCTCTCTCGAAGGCGTTGCTTGGCTGGCAAGACCTTTGTCGCGACGTCCTCGTCACAAGGGAGTTTCAGAAGAGGAGGAACCCTAACATGGACATAGACCTTAAATACGAGCAGCAAGCCTTAAGGACTTATCATGCTTTCAAGATCTCAGCATGCATGGACCTTCACCGAAGCCGAGATGCTCGGCCTTCCTGGATGCGAACATCGCCAAGAGCCCGCAGAAGGAGCCACGAGAGTTCACGTTCCTTCAGGGTTTGCGGGTTCGAGTACCGGTGCAGGTTTAGGGCTTCAGGGTGGGCTTGGACCTGCTGGTGCCCACCAGCGGCGATCCGAGATACGGTTCAGAAATACTCAAGGCTGCAGATTGCCGCAGAATCTCCTGCTCAAAGTTGGGTCGCGGTGTCTTCCGCTGTCATGGAGGACGTCGGGGCACTCCTGCGGCTCCGTGCGCCCTCCAGACGGCAGGTTGCAGAGGTGATCCGGCCCGAAAGCTGGGGTCCGGGGAGATGGACCCTTGTGCTGCGAAGCGTGGCCAAGGCCCATCGCCCTGACTTGGCGTTGCAACTGCTGGCTCTCATCGGAACGGGACGAATTCAAGCCGACGTCTTCCACTACTCCGCGGCGATTGCAACTGGTCCCGGCGGCCTTTGGCCATCTGCCCTGTCGGTGCTGCAGCACGCAGATGATTCTGGAATCATCCCGAATGAGTACACCTTCGGATCCGTGATGCGCAGTGGTGATTGGGTGCTCGCATTGGATTGCTTGAGCAGCATGGGAAGAAGGCGCCTTCCTGTCAATGATGTCATACATACCACTGTCCTGAACACCCACGCGCACCAGCACCAGTGGGAGCGAGCTCTCGCGCATCATGATGCCCTGAGCGAAATCACTACCTACACCGCTGCTGCAGCTATGTCTGCTTGCGAGAAGTGCTCGAACTGGGTGCGCTCCATTGCGATACTATCCTCAATGCTCGGACAGCCAGGGAAGCCCGGATTCTCTCCGGACCTTGTTTGTTCCGGCTCTGCGGTCAGTGCATGTTCGCAAGGGCAGAGGTGGCAAGCGGCGTCTGATCTCCTTTCGCAGATGTCAACTAAAGCCCTGGAGCGCAATGAGGTGTGTTTCAATGCGGCCATTTCCTCATGTGCACAACGCTGGGAGGCAGCCTTGTGTTTGTTCGAGTGCCTGCACAGGGAGCGCATTGAGGCAGGGATTTGCGCAGCGACCACGGCCCACGTTTGCCGCTCCTGGGAGTCCACACTTCTACTGCTCGAATCGCAGCTCAGGGAAGCTATCCTTCCTGATGGGGCGATGGCTGGCTCCGTGCTCCAGGCCATCAAAGAGCAGACGGCCGATGTTGAGCGCTGTGATCACCTCCTCTTGAAGCTGCTGGACCTGTGGAAGAAACATCTGCCACAAGATACGGGTAGCGAAGCCAGCACAGCCAGCGCAGCCCTGCCTCGAATGGAGAATGTCCTTGTCAGCCAACCCGGCTTAGTTGTATTGTGTAAGCCCCCAGGGGTGACCACCGAATCAGCTGTTGCGAAGCTAGCCAAAACCGGGATGGGGCTGCGCATGGTCTCCAGACTGGATGCGCAAACATCGGGAATTCTTCCGCTTGCAGTGGGCGAGGTTGCTTCAAGATTCTTCCAGGCGCAGTTTGCTGGCCGGCTTGTGCAGAAGGAATATGTGTGCTTGTGCGAGGGCGCCACTCTGGGGGACGTGGGAACCACGGGAAAGATCTCTCATCCGTTGCTCACTACGGGCGTGGATGGACAGAACTCCCGCACCATGGTTGCGGCAGAAGGCCGTGAGGCCCACACGGTGTACCTTGTAAAATCGCGGTTCGCTGGTACCTCGGAAGGTGCCGAAGTGATTCTCCTTCGGGTGAGGCCACTCACTGGTCGAACCCACCAAATTCGCGTGCACCTCGCTAGCATAGGACGCCCGATTGTGGGTGACGTCGTCTATGGTCGAGGTTTTGCAGCGCAGCGACTTTTTCTGCACTGCGCGCGGGTTCGCCTCCGTGACCTGGAAGGCCGAATTCTTACTGTCAAGGCTCCGCTTCCTAGGGACCTTTCTCGAAGCCTGAGGAAATGGGCAGGACAAATCGCCGGCGCGAGCCTTTTTTTTTTTTGGCATGGTCATGTCGGGATTGCTCTTCCTTGAGGTCCCCTTGCAATCTCTTCGGGGAAAATTGCCCCAAGCTTTGAAGCCTAGGGCCCTGGGGGACTTTGCCCTTTGGCTGGTGGCCCTTTTTGGCTCAAGCAAAGGAACTGCCTCTACACCAACCGAGGGTAGGCGGGGGGGGGTGGGCTTGTTAAGTGAGCTCGCAAGGAAGGCTGGCCAGCAGTGTCCGGGATGACATCGGCTGCCAGGTGGTCATGCTTAATTTCATCCCAAGGACATGCCCCTCAGCACATCACCCAGCTTTTTGACATGTGGGTGGTTGTCAAAATTATGGTCCCTTTTTGGGTCCTTATTGTAATACGGCACCTATTATTTAGGGTACCCCAAAAGGGACCATCATTTTGACAACCACCCATGTGGCTTTTTTTGGGGGGCCAATGTTGCAAACATGGCTTCCATGCCAAAACTGCAACGCGGCACCTAGGTGGCGCTCCTCTACGGCAAGCGGCCGCTGCAACGGATCGCTGTCTCGGTCTCGGTGCAAAACGACCCAGAGAGCCCAATATTCCATTAATTAAGGGATATACTTTTTTTTTACAAGGGACTTCATATTATGATTTAAATTTAAGCTATATTCCTTAATTAAGGGATGTTGGGCTTTCTGGGTACGTCATGATGCGTCTCAGCAGGCTCCGGATGAAGCTGACTAGGTGGGCGCTGCTAAGCAGCAGCTAGAGATACCCTTGGGCGTGGTGGCGGACATCCCCGGCAAAGTTGACAGTAGCGTGCCCTCGTCGGCAACAGGCAAGACCCAGTTGGATTTCAGTAGGCATCTGGCTGGTGTCTGGTTGATCTTTGCGAGAGCATTGTGGCCGAGCGGCTGTGATTTCGGAAGTTGTTCATTGAAATCCCGGCCTGCGAGTCTGGCGTATAGTGATAGGGTGTCGAATCGACGTCTGGAGTGACGGTGGTATGACATGTTTGGATTCTTGAGACACGAAACTTAGGTTTCCTATGTGGGCAACAAGTACAACGCCTTGCCCTGGAAGGACAGCTTCATGCTTTTGAGAGCCGAGGGTCAGGTTTTCTTGCGGTACCCGAGCCCTGGGTAATCTGAGAGGACTTTGTGGACATTAAGCTCGATGCGCGCAACTTGATCGAAGCCGATGTCAAGTCGGCTTTGACAGATTTGGATTGGTTTGGAAAGGCCTGTGCGCCCACACTCTCCGCCCTGCCCACCCTGCTTTAAATTCTTCTCTTAAAAGGAAAGAAGGCGCAGCTTTTTTCTGTTGGGGGCGGGGCTTTGAAAGCTTCTTGGAGGTGAACGCGCTCTACGCGGGCAAGCAGACCGAGACGGAGCTGGACGTCGCGGCCGTGGCCTCAGGGAGCAGGCAGAGCATCGCAGAGCTCGGATTTTTGAAAGGCCCGGCGCAGGCTCGTAGGCTACGCCGTCCTCTAAACGAGAGGGGATTCCAGAGCTCGCAGAGCGAGCTCTAGACCATCTTGAGCCATGCGAGTTCTGCCCTACTCTACGAGACCGTGCCTGCAGTGCACCCTATGACTCAAGCAAGCTAGCAGTGCTGTTGCTGAACATGGGACACACTAGCAGGAGTTGGTTGCAACGAGGACACAAAAGCGCACCCCGACTCAGAACAGCCAGTGCGGCCGAGGCCAAGACGATCGGGGCGATGAAGCCAGCCGCGCGGATTGCGATGCTTACTGCGAAAGCCGCACAAACGTCGGGATTCGTTTTGAATTGCCGGCCCACTTTCTAAGGTGAAGTATCCAGTTGCGAAGAAGTGAGTGACGCCTTTCATTTGTTTGCTCTGGCATGATCTTCAGGCTGCAGCGCGTCATCTTTGTAATAAGTGCTCCAGCCAGTATTGCCAGTGCCATGCGTATAGCAGAGTACCAGCTTACATTAGCTTACACCTGAAATAGCCGGAAAGGTCCTGGTCGTTTTATGCCCTGGCGCAGGCGAGCAAGCAACGTCATTCAAAGCAGCAGGGATCAGCCTGTTGATTGTCCCTACACGTAGCTTGGTTTTTACGGAGAGGTTTTGGAGTCTGAGAGGTGGAGAAAGGGCAAGCGTTTCATTATGTTGCATGCACCGCTCCCGGAACGCATGGTTTTGAGATTTGTAGTTGCCAAACGCAGCTTCCTGTGCAACCTGGCCAAGAGAGTGAACCTTAAATGCTAAATGCTCGTATCTAGGCCCAGCCGCATTGCACTGGGAAACGGCACAGTTCAACTCGTCCATGAGCTTGTCCTAGCTCCTGCAGAGTTCTAGATTGCATCAGTTCTTATAGACCCGAGGGCCGCGAGGACCCATGCAAGTCACATCCCGCGGCTCGTGCGCCGCGTTGCTCACAGCGGGCCTTGCCTCTGCGGTGCTGCGAGCATCTCAGGGTATGGGAGGCAGGCCGCGATGGCTCTATAGTTCATCTACGATCTTCGAAGGATATGGTGGAGTTGGCGCGCCCGCAGGAAAGCGGAAGGCATCGTGAGAGCATGCCGCATTTTCTTGAGCTTCTGCTGTTTGCCCACACAAGGAGATGAGGCCATGCAGGCTGTGTCGGCGCCGAAGCAGCCGGTGAGGTGTTGCCAGCTAGCCAGCGAAGCTCCGGGGTCTCAGTGCTGTGGTGCCAGGAGCGCGAAGCCAGTGGGGCCAGGACCCAAAGGTGGTCCAATTGCCACCGCGATCCACACGAAGGCAGGGTCTTGCGCCTCACGGTCCTCTGGCTCAACCAGTGCTGGCGAGGTTTCAAGCGCTTTGCAGCCTTCAGAGCTACGGGTCCACGACGATTCTGCGGCCCATCGAGGGCACGCAGGCGATGCTGATGCTCAGCTCCGGTGGAAGGACGTGCTCCAGGGGGGCAATAGTTCTTGCCAGGAGTCGCCGGAGTACAGATCCCGGAGACACACTTCAAGGTCGAGGTCGGATGCCTGAGTATCCGGAGCGAACTGTAGCTCTGCCGGAGCTTCGGGAGTTGCCTTGTATCAGATTAACCATGGGGTCGGCAAGCACTTTCACGGTTTCTGTCTGGTAGACAACACGCATTAGTCGTTAATGGTAGGTGCCGGGATGTGCCCCCCCTATATACCTCTTAGTGGCCTGATTTTTCAGGCAGAAGCCCCGTCCAATGGCGTTTGAAGTAGTGCACCTTTCTAGCTTAGGCCCCGCCTTTAAGCCAATGTGTTAACAATATGTTGACCAGACGCAAGGCAAGTAGATGAAGCATGTTCTTGACCAGGAAGTTCAGTTCAAAGTATTTTTGTGACCGCATTTCCTTTTTTTATATTTTTTCGATGACGAGTACTGCTCGGGCACAAGAACGACATGCAATTGTGCTTGGAGGCTTTGGAGATGCAGCCTGATTGATCCTGCCTGCCCTCCCTCATCCCCCCTAGATTTCATCGCCACCGTTCAAGTTTGGAGCCTGAAGGATACGCCCTTCCAGACTGAGCAGCTCATGTCTTTCAATGCAGAGCAGTAGCTTTGATGCTAGGTGGTGTCTGCTGCCTTCGAGGGCATCCGCAAGCTGGAACGCCAACGCAAAGTCCAGGACGGCCGCTGCTCCTACGTAGACTCTCAAACTCCAAAGGCAAAGTGCCACTATGTCAGCCGATGATAACTGATGATAGCTAGCTCTGGACAGCAGGACCTGCTGAAGGAAGAGTTTGCTGCCGGACTTCACGCGTTGGACTGGGTTCTAAAACTCTGCCACTCCGCAGATGTAGGGGCTGTCTGAAACGCCCAGTTTTCGTCTGATGAGGAGCTCACATGCAGAACGCCGGCTGAGCATGCGAAGGTTCGTGAGCGAACCTGACCGCCGTCAAAAAGTGTGGAGAAAAGATCCGTAAGGCCTTCCGGCTTGCGTTGAAGCTTGAGAGGCGCATCTGGATTTGAGCACCGCTACATTTTGCAGCCTTTTATGCTTGAGTCGTGCGACATGTCTGCGATCGTAATGAGAACATGATCTTGCATGCAAAGCATTTGCACGGATCCGCAAATGAACTGAAATTCAGACAGTCGCGTTTCGCCTTTGCCATGAGCCTGCGCATAGACAAAGTTTGAGACATTCCCATGCTCGCTTGGTTCCTCTAGCTTCGGTTTCAGCAGCAACAGCCTCCATGTTTCAGAATACGTGATAGAGACCCTCTCGCTGCCAGACGTTGCCATAAACTCTTGCCTACTAGTACTCGTAGCAGGATACGATCTAGCCGTACAGTCAAAAGCAGAGGAGACCGGACACATGTGAAAGATGGTGGCATGGTGACCGTCGATGAGCTGAGAAGGCAGCTGGCACCGACTGGTGTCCTGCGAGTCGAAGCCTCAGACGTTGCAGGAGGAAATGTTGTCGTCCCATTCATGCAAGAGTCGAAGAATGATCAAATGATATGCGATGCAGAGGCTGGAATCAACTTGGCCAACTTCTTGCTGGTCACTGGCCAAAGCTCCAGTGGCACCCCAGAAGGCGAAAACAACTTGTGCCGGTGCTGTGTGGTTTTTGTCATCTACAGAGGTGATGGCCCTGTGCAGGTGTTTCACCGGACCTGGCCGCCGAAATCGCCAAGCGGCTGGGTACTGCGCTCCGCTTGGTGCCATTTCCCAACCCCAAGGAGACGTGGTCCACGCAGGTCCTAAAAAGTCTTGGAAGCTCGGTCAAGGGCTTGAGGTGCAATGTAGATTCAGGTAGCTGAGAAGATTGCTTACATTTGCTACATCAGGATGCAGTACTTGAGCAGGGCATCGGTGGCCGTGGCAGTGGTGGCAATGATGGCATTCGCACTACTGTAGCAGTATGTAAGAAAAGGGGCGGCAGTCATCGTGCTTGCGCAAGGACTTGGGCGATGCCGTGGACGAAGGCCGGTCCGGGCCGGTCAAGCTTGGAAGGGAAGGGATGGACGGAGCCGAGCGGGTGTTCCTGGCAGGTTGCTGGGACATTGCCCTCATAGGAGCAGAGCCTCAACGAGAAGAAAAGTGCCCTGGCTGCGTTCAGCCTCCTTGAGCGGAGGCTAGCAACACAAAGTGACAGTTGCAAGGTACTGTATCGGCTCAGGATTGCCTTTAGCAAGCCTTACGTCGAGATACCCGCGACCTACTTGGTGCCCAGCAACTCAAAGCTGACACTGCGACAGCATGGACAGACTCGACCCGACTCAAGAAGTCGACCCAGTGCTTGAAGTGCCAACACAAGGACAAGCATAGAGGAAGTGGACTCCCCGACAGCATCTTGGTGAAAAAAATCCTCTCGCCGATGCAGCGCTTGTGGACGGATACCGGCATGAACTGGCGATGGTGAGGTTCGAATCGCCTGCATGGGGGGAACGGCCTTTGGCTTGTGGCTGGACAAAAACATCTGTCGAGCCAGCGTCATCAAGGCGGGGGGGGGGGAGTGGGCTTCCGGAGCCCCGGCATCCTCACCTTCCTTCTACCCGGACTCAGGTCGACTCCATGGACGCAGCTCTGAAGCTCCTGGTGGATGGGCAGGCGGGGAGGAGACGGCTTGCAAAAGGGTGGAGCGAAGGGTCGGAACTTCAGGCCGACGTGCTCGCGAACCTGCGAGAGCGCCTGTTATCCGATGTCCTACGCGTTCCGGGGGACGGGCCCTCAGCTTCGAAGTGCTGACTGCTAGATGGCTACTAGTAGACTGCTGGAGGGCCAGGATCCATGGTCACTAGGCCCAGATGTCGCAAGCATGAGCTCAGGGGCGAATATTGGAGGGTCACTTCATGACGGCAGCTTTGCCGCAAATTGTCGAGCTCTCACCTAGGCGCAACTTGATTGAGTGGCACATGATCGGGCACTTTAACCTGCCGAGGTGAAGCAGGACCGGTCTTTGGCTTGTTACGGCTCTTTGCCCGTCCCTTCCTTTCCGGCCTCTGCACCCCGCGGTGGCCTCTTGCAGGCTGTGGGAACTTCGAAATGCCGCGGCACCCATGCAGCCGCCTTCTTGGCAGAGACCGTGGCAGAGCTGAAGGCAAATGGCTTCGTGCCAGACCCAGCGCTCTTTGACACCGCTCCGAGGGAATGTCATTGCCTGATCTGAGGTCGAGAGTCTGATCGCCAAGCAGCCTGGCCTGGCAGCAGCGGCAGAAGCCTGCTTGGAGGATCATGGGACTTAGTAAGTAAGGTTATAAGTCCCCTAGTTGGGGTTATAAGTATAGTTACCCTAATTATAGCTTTAAGTGGTAATGGCTGCGTGTTTGACCGCGTATCTGCCAAGGCATGGGGTTGCTGGGAAGCTGGTCGTGGCAATCGAGGGCCCGGAGGCAAAGCGGCGAAGAACCGATGTTGCTTCAGGTGCCTTGGGTAGGTTGATGGCACTGCGCGCGAAGTCCTGCAACATGCCTGGGGGTGAGGTGGCAGGGGTAACTTGGTGCTGGAAAGTGGCTTGCCAGCTGCTCGTGATTTGCTTGCAGATCGCAAAGACTCCGTTGCCATTCTGGGCTGTGGAGCCATGGGATGCGTGCATCTCTGCTAATTTATGAGTTGTACACGGCTTGGATTAGACATGTTGAATACAAGCTGGAATGCCGGCTAAAGCAAGCATATGCACATGCACATGTCTCGTTCGTGAAGAAATAGGATTGCATCACAAGGTATGCAGCGTTCTTTGCCAGAGCAGGGCACGAGGCAAGCAGCCCAGCGGATCCCGGCGGCCCAGCCCGTGAGAGCTTCTGCTGATTCCGTCAGGTCTGGGTCGTGGACCTTTGGCCTGAACACATCTCGAAAATGCGGGAGGAGGTGGGGAGCCGGGCTGCAGAGCGCAGAGCGCAGAAAGGCAGAGCGCAGAGCGGCAAAATGGCCTCGCGCCAGGGCCTTCGTCTCCAAGGGCCCACGGGGGACTTTACAGTGCGGGTGAACGCAACCCTCTCCGCCCACGACGTGCCGCCGAGCGATTTGGCCTCCGGGCTGCAACAGGGCGCGATGCCGGTTCCGAAACACCTCACATGATCTGAGCTCAGCTGGGCTCAGGTCATCATCTCGACCAAGATGAGAGACTTGGAGTCTGCCGCGCAGCTGGCGGCGAAGCTGACGAAGGAAGATGGCGCGACCCGGCGGCACGGCACACCGGGCCGAGAGTGCTTCGAAAGGGCTTCCAATTGCACTTTTTGAGGTGATCCTGTATAATGTCATATACTATATCATAAGAAGATGATAACAGAACACGATACAATATGATAATATAGCGAAATACCATATAGAATATCAACAGAGTTTGATGATAGTATCATACAAGATGTTTTATACCATGTTTCGCATAATACATTGTCATATAATGCCATCTAACACAATATAGTGTAGCATGATATAATACCATGTAATATATCATATCATAGTAGAATCTAGGAATCATGTTCTTGTATACAATATTATATAATAATTATACAATATGTTACATTATACTATAGGTAATATGACATGATATGACATGATATGATATAATATGATATGACATATTATAATGTTGTATAACACAACATGATACATACATATATGTAGAGATATTGTATTCCATATTATATGGTGTGCTGATATAGATGTATATATGCATACACAGAGCCCTGAATCTAATTCAATTTAATAGAGGTGATCCTGTCCATCCAGAACGGCCTCGGTGCCGCGGAGCGCCTGCTCCAGCACGTGGATGCCGGGCGCGCGATGCTGGGCATCGCCAGCAACTTCGGCGCATGCATGCGAGGACGCCAGCACATCTGTTTTCCAGACACTTCCAAGAGCTAACTAAACACACCAATAGAAAAGTATGTAAGTAAACGCATGAATAAAGAAGTACATGGATTTTACATGCGGCCATTAAATCATTAAACCCACGTCAGGACCAGGCCATGCCGAGCACAAGAGCATGAATCGCATCATCCTCGGCGAGCTCGGACAGAAAGCCACGGAGCGGATCCAGAAGGCTTTTTACAGGGCCTCTCCCGTCCTCTCCCCAGAGAGACCAATATCCCTTAATTAAGGAATATAGCTTAAATCATAATATGAAGTCCCTTATAATTTAAGGAAGATTCCTTAATTAAGGGGTGTTTGGCTTTCTGGGTCCCTCTCCCTTTCCGAGTCTGTCCGAGTCCAAGTTTCTGGGGGTTCCGATTGTTTGATTCAATTGCAGGTCGCGTGCATTTGGTCCTCCGTGGGCTTCAATGTTGAGGCCGGGCTTACTTGAAAAGAGACCGGAAGACAGTCTCGCGACTAACGCCGTGCCGTTCTTCGCACACCCCAATGTGCAGGCAGCCAGCGACATTCAGCAAAAGATATGGGAGAAATTGATCTGCAACGTGTTCGTCGGAGGTGTACCGTCTGAAGTTTTCTTGTTTGGGCCACTTCGGACTCGATGACTGGAGCTCTGAAGCATGCAGGGGCGAAGCAGTTTGCAGGGAACCGTCCGCACCAAGTTGGCTAAGCAATGAAGAGCAAGATTAACCTCTTCATAGTCCCCAGCACCATCCTCGTAATTGTCATGGCGCTCATCCGCCTTTGCCACGTCAGGGACGTGTGCCATCACCGACTTCAAAGTCGGAGAGATGGTGGATAACCCCTTCGCAAAGCAGGCGCTTCGCCTGCCGCTCTGCAGAGATGCGCCTTCCCGAGCGCTTTGCGGACTAAGCAGGTCGCAGTGGCCTGCGCCAAAGAGGCACTCATCCTTTTGCGCTTGTGGTCTCGCTGTTTCGAGCCGGCTGAACACCTGACGATGCAAGGCGTATGAAGTGGGCAAGAGCAAAGGCATCAAATTTGGCTTTGAGGATCTGGAACAGCAGCTAGATTCGATCTGATGTCCGGTGCTGCAATGTCAGACATTGCTGATTACTGCTAGTGTTTGTGGCCGTGGCCAGTCTTCTGCAGCTTGGTTAAGTTGTCTCTGTCACAGGCTGGGGCATGAGGCAGTGGCTGGCAGTGCATGTTTCGGCACTAAGGTTTGTCGACAAGTTTGCGTCTACCGTCAGGGACACTTATCCTTCGATGGCACAGGATCATCGAAAGAGACAAATTTCAGAAGTGGATGCGGCTGGACCGCACAGCAATACTAATGAAAGGTGCGTATCTCAGTTGCTCTGCGCTCGTTCGGTTTTGCTGCCAGGTGATCAATGGAGCCATCCCGTTCCTTGACAGAACAGCCGGCAACCATTCCGCGTTTTGTTTCATGGCCACGAAGTGAGGCCCGAGGCAGCCAAGCTGGGGCTGGCAGCACCGGTGAACGAAACCGTGGCGAGCCTCCTCCGTGCCCGGGAGATGACTTTCTGAGGGGCTGCGAGCGCGCCGCTCGTGGAAAATCAAAGCACTCGTGTGCCGTCGCGGTGTCTACTGCCCGCTTGCCAAGCATGAGGTGAAAACAACGGTGTAGGCAGGGAGTAGAAAGACCCATGGGGCATGGAAGGTTTAGGACTTCGGGTCTTAGGGTAATTTCATTGGGACCAAGTCTTTCCAGGAGCAAGGCTTGGGCTGTGACAACATGACTTTACTCGCCAGTGCCCAAGGCGACACCCCAAAGCATTGTTTGTTGCAAGCGGTGTACGATCGAGGTGGTGGAGTTGCAGCCCAGCCAAAGATCTCAGGTTCGCTGACGGAGTGAAACGTTTGTTTGTTTGTTTGTTTGTTCGTTTGTTTGTTGTATTCATCCATGAGTGCAACCCGATCGTGTGCCCAGATGAGACAGCTCTGGACGTTCCCACATGGCTCTGCTGTACACCGAGCTGGCGGCAAGGCACGCATCTAGGATCGTCAGCGCAACGTTTCGCTGGTCCAGGATGCTGAGAAACCGAGGTTGCCATGACACCTTCGTCGCGACGCCGGGTTGTCATGCAGCTGCAGAATGTGAAACGATCGAGTCGTGCCAAAGTCAAGAGTGCTGGTCGGTCCAAGATCAGGACAGCTGAGTGCCTAGCTTCTTCGGAACAGTCGTTTTGTTTGGAGTCAGCTAGAAAGACACTGCGAGCCAGGAGCAGCGGCTGATGACCTGAGAAATCCGGCCACGATGTAAGTCAGTGAGCGATGAGCCTGCAACAAATTCGCGGTTCTGATTCACCGCTTGTGATCATTCCCGAAACAGGCCTGGACGTCTTGCATCACTGCCAGCACCTGTTCCGTCGTATGCCCTACGCTCTGAGCTGTCGCTGGTGCCGATCTTGCAAGAAGCCTTCCCAGCCAATCATGCGTATGGCTGTTGCCCGCGCAGCCTTCGTTTGATTCCCCGATGAAGATGCCGGGATGAAGATGCGTCCGTGTCCACCTTTCCTTTTCGGCTCCAGCTGTGCTTTTGTTCTGCTTTCGAGGGCAGTTTGCCGGGATCCCGACTATGGCTGAGTTGGCCAATCTGGGAGGCACAGAACGAGTGTGAAGCCTCCTGTCGTGATCAGATGTTGGCCGCTCTCAACGGAACGCAGCGTTTGCTCACAGCAATCTCAGCAAGCTCAGCTTTTTGAAGAGGCCCTGCCTTCGTGGCATTGCCTTCGTCTACAGCCACCAGTCTGCGTGCCACAGGCGCAAGCCTGTGCTCACCTAGACTCTACTTAAACATCCGAAGCTTACGGGGGGTTTCTCCGATACCCAAGTTGCTTCGAGCTTGATTGCCACAGGGCACTCGGCGCACTCCGCTGCCAGCTCATCGGCGTCTCAGGCCCGAAGACTTCAGGGCTTGCGAGTGCCAGGCTAGGTGATGCAAGTTTGGCTGGTTGTTAAGATCACAGGGCCCGCGAGCTGCGGCAGCTGCTACAGTGGCAGGCTTCCGGGTGATCCGCTGGCGATGCATGGTCGCGACAAGCATTTAGGGTGTCAGGTCGACGCAAAAACCACGGCTGTTTCCACTGCAAGAGAAGCAACGAGACGATGTTAAGCTCACGATCGTTGGGGGGTTGTAAAGGTTTGGGATTTCTGGAAGGACTGGAAGGTTGCCTTTTCTACCCCAGACCCTAAACCCTAAACCCTAAACCCTAAACCCTAAACCCTAAACCCTAAACCCTAAACCCTAAACCCTTGAGCCGTCAACCCCCACCGGGAGTTTTGCCAGGGCTCGCTGCCTTGGCGCAGGGCTCCCGCAGGCCGGAAGACGCCTTGAGATGCCTTGAGGTTTTAAGCAGGGTGCTACTGGTAGAAGGCTATAAGGGTTGCAATAAAGGGTTTAGGGTTTAGGGTTTAGGGTTTAGGGGAATAAGTCTACCATAAGGCCATATGGGTCACGTTGAGACTCTGATTGGTATTCTAGGCAAAGATATGTGCATTACAGGGTTCTGCAGGGCGTACCATGATCAAGACTTTGGCTTAGCGCAGTCGATGGCGTTTGGCCGCTGTGGGCCGGGTTCCTGCGCGCATTCGGACCTCGCCACGACTGAAACCTGTAGTCACCGAGGTGATGTCGTTTGCAAGGTGGAACAGTCTTGGAAGCTGAAAGCTACCCAGCTTACTTCACCGATATCGTAGTTGCTCCGACCTGTTTCTCCAGCGCCTGAAGCAGCTGAAGCTTCGAGCCTCGGATGAAGGTCGCGAAGGACGGCCCTGAAGGGTGCTGCCACGGAACTTCCCACAGTGGACCGGGTTGGGAACCTAGAAGCTCGGCTCATCATCCTCATCATCATCATCATCATCCTCATCCTCATCATCATCATCATCATCATCATCATCCTCATCCTCATCCTCATCAGCATCAGCATCAGCATCAGCATCAGCATCAGCATCCTCATCCTCATCGTCATCGTCATCGTCATCGTTATCGTCATCGTCATCGTCGTCATCATCAACATCGTCATCATCAGGCAGGACCTGCATAAAAGCACTTTGCAATTATGGATGTGGAGAGGGTGTGGGTGTCAAGTCCGCAGTGCAGGTGAGTGTTCACGCCCCAGCTGGATTCTAGATCCTGCATGAATTTGTGCTCTTAGTGGCAAGTAATTAAGACCGTTGTGAAAGTCCTTACAACTATATAGAAAGGACAATTTGAGAGAATACCGTGCCCCATGGTGGCTGCCGATCCTCCCAGAGTAGTCTCGTCGGCAGAGGTGCTTCCCGCGCTCCGAACTGCCGGGGCTTGCATCCTGGAAGGTGCAGGCAGCTCCAGGGAAGAGGCCGCGGCTCTGCCTGAAGAAATCTTCGGTGCAGTTCTCGCGGCGGCACCGGAACCCGCGGAGGTCTCGGAGAAAACTTTGGGACCCCGTGGCATCCGCAAGGATGACGCCTTCCGAGCGCACACTGACGGCCATGCCTACGGGGACCTCTTCCCGGACTACTTCCTTTTGCTCTGCGCTCATGCCAGCTCGAAGGGAGGTGGTAACTTTGTCATCGATGGCTACCAAATCCTTGATGGATTAGCAGAGGATGCTGAGAACTCTTGGGTAGTGAAGGCACTGGAGGAAAGGGCCGTTGATCAGACTTCCCGACTGCCCAGTATTTCGCCTGTGGTTCTGCGAGCACCTGACGGGCGGCGAGCCCTTCGGTGTCGCTTGTCTGGTCCGCCGGCAGCTTTTGCAGCACAGAGGGTGAGCCATGATTCTGACGACCCGGAGAAAGATGCACGCATGTTGGCGATTTACCATCAAGCGGTAGAGAAGGCAGCGGAAGCAGCCGACAGGATCTACTTGCGGCCAGGTGATGCGCTGGTGGTGGACAACTACCGCATGTTCCACGGCCGTGATCCTTACGTAGATCCGGATCGCTTGTTGTGGCGGTGCTGGATCTGGACCACAGCTGCGAGGGGCGTCCCAGACACCGAACTGCACTCCACCCCAGGCAACACGGCGGGGGAAGTGCGCCCCGACGAGGCACCCTTCAAAAAGCAGAGGCTGGAGAAGGCGGAGGAAAGCTGAAAATGAGTGCGTGTAGGCCAGAACGAGTATGGGCAGTCAGTGTTCTTTCGCGGGCAAGTAGCGAGGCGCTGAAGCTACGGATGTTGCACAAGCCCAGGCCACCACGAAGCAATGGAGGCGAGACCTGATGAGGCCGCGGACTCAGAGGCCCTTCACCTTCCCATTTGCATGGCAAGCCGTCCAGGTCCGACCAGTACTACAAGTTTGGCAGGAGATGTGTAGCTTGACAGCAGGTTGGGGAATAGACGACAGCTAAACGATGCAGGACCCAGATGGAGAATGCCATGAATCAGCTGCAGGAGGCCAGGAATGAGACATCAATTTCTGCTAGTTTCTGGGCAACTTGAGTCCGGGGTTCGTTCGGTACGCCAAGAAGGGAGGTCTCGAAGTTACGACGTGCGGTGGGGTTGCTGCGAGGTCAGTGGCAGCGAGCTGCTGACCAAGGCCTGCACTCGCTTTGAGGGAGACGAGAAGAAGCTGATCCATTGGCCCGTCGGTGGCCATTTGCCCCCGGCCCCTCTCTATATAAAGCTATGCCAGCTGAGCAACGGTACAGAAAGTTTATGCTTCAGACTCGGAAGTCCTTGCTTCCTTTGTTACATGTGCGCAGATTCGGCAGAATGGCTTCCGCCTGACTGTGAGCGGCTGAGACGACCTGGGTGTCCGTTGCAAGCTGCCGCAATTGAAGAGGGTCTGAGAGCGAAGTGATTGACTAGCCGGGAGCTGTGCAGGTCGGCGACATCACCTTCGTGTTGGCGGAGTCCGGACCCAAGCAAGAAATACCATGGGTTCAGGTCCAGGGATTAAGAACCCTGAGCCGTAGACGCCGTAGCTCCCAAAAAGCCTGCAGGTCCTATGGCTTCTGCTGGGGCGTGGAGCGAGCGGTCGCCATGGCCTACGAGGCGCGAGCCATCTTTGTCTTCCCAGCTTCGCTTTCCCGCCCATTTCATGTCGTTGTTGCGTCGGCGTAGTCTCTGATTGATCAAGGACCAAGCAGAGTGCTCGTTCTCTTTACTGTTACTGAAACCACTGGTGAACGCGTGTGCCGGATCATAGGCTGTCTGAAAGTGCAGCGTGGTGTGACAGCTCAGCATCGCCGAGCTCTGCAGGCTCGAGATTTTTTCCCAGACAAGAACATTTGGGTGACGTCGGGAACTCAGCTGCGAATTACTCGACTGCCGTTGATTACGCTATTCAGATTCTCCTTCCTACTTGTCACTGTCGGATTTCCTGCATTGGGAGCTGTCATTGTGATGCGATGTCATCATTTCCGCTGCGCACTAGCTATTCCTGTGACGAGGAATGAGATCATTCACAATCCGTCGGTGCGGGCCGTAGATAGTGTCATGCAGACATGGAGGCCTTAATTCGGAGTATATAAGTGCTATCAGCATAAGTGTAGGCTGCAGCTGTCGAGGTGAACCAGAATCTCTCCGATAAAGGGATGCGCTTCGTGGAGACAACGAAGGATGGGGGCAAGGCCTGGCATGCCGTGGCACTCCGACATCTCCGCTCTTTTGCCTTTGGCTTGTCTGTCTTTGATGCTATTCCTGCTATTCTCCGGATCATGTGCGCGCTTTCGGCATGAGTACGTGCATATACCATACACGCAAAATTATTTATGCGCAGACTCAGATATTTTCAGCGATATGTAACGATATATAAAGTAATAGTGTATGCATGCATGCATGCATGTGTGACAGCACAGGTGTAACCTACTTACCTGCCTGCCTACCTACCTACCTACCTACCTACCTACCTACCTACCTACCTACCTGCATACATACATACATACATACATACATACATACATACATACAGTGCATAGATACATACATACAGTACATACATAATACGTACGTACATGCATATATATATATATATATCCATATATATATATATACACACATATATACCCCCACACACACACACACACACACATATATAGCTGTGCGCGCCTACACACCCCTGCCGATGCCCGTCGAGGCTGCACGGAGCTTCACACGTTTTGGGGGTTCAGGGTTCAGGTTTGTGGGTTCGGGGGTTACCAAGGATCAATAGATGGTGTCTATATCCTGAAACGGCTCCGCCTGGTTTCCATGAAGCTTACGACCGTTTTGCAATGAGCCGTAGATTCCCTGTTGTCAGGATTATTCCGATGTGGAGGAGGGGGATGCCCCTGGCTCAGGAGTAGAGCTCGAGCTCGGATTGGACTTTCTCGCCAGCACTGGTCCATCTGGTCCAGAGGTTGTCATTCTGCCCGCCTTCGGTGCGTCCGTCGACGAGATGGCACTGCTGAAAGCGCGCCGGGCCGGGATAATGATGACGGCACAGCAGCGCAGCTGTTGGGCACTGACCGCCAGTTCAAGTTAGCTAGATGGTTTGTCGGCACCTACATATGCATCATGTGCATCTATCGTAGAGAGCTGTTTCAACGGATTTTTTCAAGCTGTCGGTGCATCTGCAGGGAATCTGAAGCTTCAGGATCCTGCTGAGGGCCGTCTCCCACCCCCGCTCCGACCCGTATCCTTCACCCGGTTCCCGAAAATCAAAGAGAATCAAAGGATCTCCTGTACGGCCTGTAGGTTCGTTTCATGGACTGCCCATGGTTCCTTGCCAAGACCCGAAGAGTCAACCTGCTCCCTGGCTAGCTTGAGAGCCACGCTGTGAGGAGCGCAATGTTCAAATCGTGGACACCACCTGCCCATGGGTTTCCAAGGCTGGCTCAGTTGACGGATGCCAAATCGCAGTGCTGCTGTTGTGGTTGTTGTTGCGGTGGTTGTTGTCGAGGGTGATCACTTGCATTATCCGGTTTGAGAACACCCCCTGGCCACTCCTGCGCCCGCAGGTCTGGGCTTCAGTCGAGCGCAGCAAGGCCCCGCTAGCAGCAGCATGCTGCGCACACTGCACAGCCCAAGTCATGAGAGTCGCTTTTCTGCTCTGACGCCTGCGGTTTGCATGAATGGTCCGGTGCCGTCATCAATGTGTTGTTGCAGTTTCAATGCCTGTGAGAGGACAAGGATCATACTGCTATCATCCACGGAAAGTGCCGCTGGTGGAGTTCAGACGGGGCTTTGCGCAGTTTGAACAGCTACAGTCGTGATCGTTCATGTTCGAATTCCTTGATCACCCAGGGCCCTAGGTCAGGTTGTTCCTGTTCCGCCCAGTTCTGTTTTTTCACAGTTCTTTTGCTATGTTGCCGCACGTTTGCATCAAAGCAGACTTCCCCTGTCTGGGCAAATCGAAGTCTCGAAGACACGGATCAGCTGTTCCGGCCCAGTTGCCATGACAAGGCCTCGCTCACATATCATCGAAGGCTGTAGTATATGATACTATATCATAGTATATGGTGGCACATTCGATACTGTAGTAGAGACATGCGTATGTTGCAGTATGCTCTAATCGTTTTTTTACCGTGCTATCCCGCGGGGCTCGTCTGAGCGCAAAGTCGCTTTTGGCAATTCCAGGTACGACCACGAGGAGACTGTGGCCACCAAGTCCTTCGCATCGAAGTGACCCTGATCGTATTAGAGTTTAGGGGTTGGGGTGTTCGACGATGCAAATGACGCCTTGGCTCGTGGGGCAGGTACATCGTCCTGAAGAACATGGCAGAAGCGGAGTACGTTGCAGCCTACGTGCTGGGAGAGGGCAACAAGGAGGCCAGCTGCAATCGGGCTGGGTGGTCAGGATTTGTCACGTGCTTTGCAAGCCGATTCCTCTTCAGCAGAAGTGCTCGCTTGTCAGGAGTTCATGGCCAAGTTCAGCAAGGCAAGTCGCCGTGGGCCGGGAGGTGCTATGCCCGGCTATGTGGAACTGTGGAGGCCATGAGCCCGGGCTTCGACCCCGATGTGGACCTGGATCGGGTCGGTGTGGCCAATCAGACCACCATGCTCAAGGCAGGCTGCGGTTTCGGCCCATCGTCATCACCCCTGTTATCTCGTCTCCAGCTCTCTCTTCAGCTTCCTGCAAGGGCGAAACCGAGCTCATCGGCAAGCTCTTCGAGCGGGTCAGCGCAATCTTTATGTGCATTAATTGACTTTGTGAAGCAAGCAGGCCTGACTAGGCCGTTTCGCCCCGGAATTAGTGGTGTGCCAGCAGCTTCCATTGGCTCGTTTCGTGCAGTCACGGCCGTAGAATGCTGAATTCAAGCTTCGCTGCAGACCCTCATCAAGAAGTACGGCCCGCAAAACATCAATGTGTCTTATCTTGACTTGCAGGATTTTCTGATCATTGCTGCAACGATACCGCGAGCGAGTTGGCCTGCCGAAGTATCTCTTAGGAACACTTCATGTCCTTCAACACCATCTGCGACGCCACTCAGGCGCTGCCTAGTCCTGTGGCTGTTTTTATGTCAGTCGAACCTACCGTATCACGAGGAGAGGCAAGATGCCATGTACAAGATGTTCGGCGCTGAGTACGAGGCACGCCCGACATTGCCAGAATCTTCGGCCTAGACGATGATGGGCATGCAAGACTGGCTGGAACGAAAGCTGCGAAGTTGAGCTAACCAGGACTTGATTACTGCTTCTGATGGTGCATCCAGTCTCATGTGCGAGAGTGGCACTGCTTTTACTGGCATTCTGGGAGTGTGCAGACGACCGTGGCTTGCCGCTTCTAGCACAGCCGCTAAGCCTCAGCGATCCCAAACTTTACTTGTTCACACTGCTGCCTCGAGATTGCCGGGAGAGACTTGGATGCAAAGTTCCTGGTGCTTCCCTTCCCGATCCTGCTGCACCGGGTATATCTCGAAGTCTTGGCGCATCGACCCGAGGATGGCTTCGAGGTCGACTTTGCGTTTTCTACTTGCGGCACTCCCGGTTTTCGAAGCCTCCGAGCTCTGCCACGCAGGCGATCACACGGTTGAGCCAGAGCTAGCCGGCAAGAGCGAGCCATGGTGAGCCCAGGGTTCCCACGAAAGGAGATGCCGCTTGTGCCGCGCGCTCGTCGGCGCTGCTGCAGCACGGCGCCCGCGAGCGTCCCGGAGGTTGTGAGACGTTGCGATATGCAAGGCATCGGTGAAAAAGCATCAGCTGGCGGCCCTCCTGCTCTCTTAATGATTCCTGCTGTGAGCGGGGTCCAAGGTCAAAGTCGGGCCGACGACGAGAGCCTCTATGCCGACGAGAGCCTCTATGGGGCTGGCATGGCACCCATTTGCAAGGATGCAGCCGACTTCCTTCCAGAGAGGGAGATGTGGGCGTACTGCGACTTCTACGGGCACGGTGCCGTGCTGCCAGACGAAGCTCGTCAGCCTTGGGAATTTCTTGGCGCTTCTGCGCTTCCGGTGCTTTTGAGTCTGAGGAGACGACCTGCAATGACCAGGAGGGTTGTTATGGTGGAACGGGCTGGTGCCACTGTGAGGGCAGGGAGGGTTGCCTGGCCGTGGGTGGCTACTGGTTCGCCCAAACCTGTACGATGGAGGTGGAGATGTTCAGGCAGAATCGGCAGAGAGCAGGGGCCGGGGGGGTTCTTTTGCATCTTGCGAGTGTGGCACCTGTCCCTTCGCCAGTCAAGAACAGCGCGAGATGTTGCACATGGCCGACTCCACCGGCAGTTGCCTGGACCTGGAGGTGGGAGACCGGGAGACCGCGCAGTCTAGCGGCGTAGTCTAGCGGCGTAGCAAAGCGCTTAGATTTGCGAGAACTTGCTTTTGGCCCGAGGCCAACGGCATGAAAGCGGCGGACCCGGGGTTCTGCTTGAGCAGCTTGAGCTGCTTGAGTCGATGAATTGGTGTGGTCTCTACGGCCATGGCCGCAGGATATCGTATCGTGGCCGGCGACAAAGTGCTGTGCATCCTTCCCGGCGACCATCTGCGACAAGGATCTCACGCCCCAAACACCCTGCATGCACGACGAGGACAGGCGAAACGGAGGAGTAGCAGCACAAGCACAGCAGCGATGGCGATAGCGACGTTTTGAGAGGGTGGAAGATTCCGAGCCCCGGCTGCAGGACTTCGAGCACAACAAGTCGATGTGGGCCTGGTGCGACACCTACGAAGCGGCCCCCTCCGAGCACGAGTGCAACTCCAAGGGCTGCGAGGGCAACGAGTGGCACTGCCACTGCGAGACCAAGGAGGGCTGCCTTGCAGTAGGCCGGGTGGGCACATGTGGGCACTGCAGCCCCATTATGGCCCATCGAAGTCGCCTGAAAGCCCTCTTTGACCTCTTGGAGTGCCGTGAGGTGGTCGTTGGGAGGAGTACCAGTGCTGGCAAGATCTGCAGTACATGTCTACGGAAGTGCACAAGGCCAGGCTTTCCCACAGCCACCCAGCCTCTTGGGGTCGCAACGGTGGTTTCATACCCGCGACATGGCAAGCTGAACCTGCACAGGGCATTTCGATCGCCAAGAGCCAGCACTCCTGCCGCTTGGCTGAGTGCAGCATTGATGGAACCGGCAGCATTCTGTACAGATGCGAAGTGCGAAGCGCTTGCAGTCTCGAGCACAGCACACATAGCGCACTTAAGGTGACGACATCGCAGTTTGGCACAGCCCACTCGAGTACTCGGTGGACTGGTTGGGCCGGGGCACCTGTTGCAGGGCGTATGCGAAGAGTCGCGGACGGACGGACTTGAGGTTCCAGTTGCTGCTCCTCCGGGCAGTCGGTTTGCCAGGCCTGGGCTGTTCGTCCCAAGATGTCCCAAGGCCCTTTGACTCTGGAAGTCCCAGGCGCTCGGAGGTGGCGGCCACAGTCACCACCATCACACGGCGGCTGGTCGATGAGGGCACCAAGACCTTGGAGCCCAAGGGGAGCTGCATAAACTGGGTTCTTGTTAAGGGATTTAATTTAAGTTACCATAATAGGGATCTATAGTAAATAATATGGTTTCCTTATTATGGTAACTTAAATTAAATCCCTTAACAAGAACCCAGTTTATGCAGACGCCATCCGACCAGGGCCGGTTCACCAGGGCAGCCAGTCCCCGCCCTGGAAAAGTCCTCTGCCAGAATGGCTGCGTTCCGCGGGGGTTGTGCAGCTGCTGCGCCACATTGCTGAGAGTTTCGGAAGAATCGGATGCGTGCATCAGATCGGTAGAGAACTAGGAGCGATTGACAGCATCTGAGCAGGCCCCGAATTCCAACCTCTACGCAGAGCTTGAGGGCGAACAGGCACGAGATGGAAGGGTAGAACATCGTTGAAGCTGAAAGGGATGCCTGTTTTAGTGACTACTTAGTAGTGTTTCATATTCCGATGGCTTCTGCACTACCCCTTGTCCTCGAGCGACGGCGACTGCTGCTACTACCACAACAGCAGCAACTACTACTCCTACGACCAGTACCAGTACCACTGCCAGTACCTGTACCAGTATGTTGGTCCGGGTCCGACAACCTACTGCTGCTGCTGCTGCTGTTGCTGCTGCTGCCGCTGCTGCTACTTCTACTGCCCCGCCCTACCAACCACCTGTCGCACAAACCCATCATCATCATCGTTGCAATTGGGCTACAATATCATGAAAGTATTGTAAATACCGGGTAAAAGAGTAAAGCGGATGTGTTCTTGTACGTCATCATGCTCCCCCCCCCTCCCCCACCCCCCCTCCCCCACCCCCCCCACCCCCCCCAACCATCCCTCAACAGCGGTGGTATGGACTACGACATCACGAAAGTTCTGTACCGTAAATACCGAGTAGATTGAATGTGTTCTTAAGCAGTGTTTAAAGAAGGTGGTTGGTAGAGGGGGGGCGCCTACTACTGCTACTACTACGACTACGACTACGACTACGACTACGACTACGACTACGACTACGACTACGACTACGACTACGACTACGACTACGACTACGACTACGACTACGACGACGGCTACTACTACTACTACTACTACTACTACTACTACTACCACTCTTCCTACTACTGTTATATTTGCTTCTGCTCCTGCTGCTGCTGTGATAGTGTTGGTAAGGGCGAAGGCAACGAAGACTAACATGCCTACTTCGATATTTGCTTGCAGCTTGCACCACCCTAAACTCCTCGACCCTATCTAAACATGCCTAAACCCAACATTTTAAAGGCAAACACAATCTCGGACAAAGCGCTACCGACAGGAAGCCAGATCGCCTCGCACAGAGGCAGTCAGATGTCGGTTAGTGTTTTTAGAGTACTGAGTTTGCAGATTCGGGTTTAGGGTTTAGGGTTTAGTGTTTAGGGTAGTGAGTTTACAGATTCGGGTCTCGGGTTTAGGGTTTAGGGTTTAGGGTGAATATTTCTTTCAGGGGCTGAAGGCAACGATTCGATGCTTTTTTTCAGGGTGCCTAGTGAGTTTACAGATTCGGGTCTCGGGTTTAGGGTTTAGGGTTTAGGGTGAATATTTCTTTCAGGGGCTGAAGGCAACGATTCGATGCTTTCTTTCAGGGTGCCGGGCAGTGTCAACTTTTGGAACTTCGAGCCTAAACCACTAAACCCTAAACCCTCAACTTTTGGAACTTCGAGCGTCGCTGTGCGGATTCTGACATGACTTTCGGCATGATGCGTCGTCGGATGGGGCTCCCTGGCAGCGGGTCTAGGGTTTAGGGTTTAGGGGTTTAGGGTTTAGGGTCTAGATTACCCTTATGTGTTTTCCAAACAGTGGCCTCGTTGTGAAGCGTGCGGCTGTGTTGTAGGCATTGTTGCTGGTTGCCGATGTGTTGCAGATGTTGTCGTCCTGCTCGTCCTTCTGCTCCTCCCACCCAGTGTTGGCATCCATGCATTTTCACTGTGGGTGTTGGCATAGTGTTCTTGGTACCGTTCTGTGTGCTTGGCATTGTCCATGACGTCGTGTTTGTCGATCGCCGGCGTGGTCACTGTCGTGGCTCTGGCCGTGGTCGTGGTCGTGCTCTTAGTAATTAGTGTTTATCCTTGCCTTTGTTGCTGCTGCTGCTGCTGCTGCTGCTGCTGCTGCTGGCGTTATGTTTTTGCTGTTGTTGCCGCCGTTGCTGTTCGTTGCCGCTGTCGCTGTCGCTGTCGCTGCGGTTGCGATTGCGGTCGCGGCTTCGGTTGGGGTTGCGGTGGTGGTTTTTGGTGATGGTGGGTGGAGGTGTGTTTCCGTGTTGCAGTTGCTTGTGCTGGTCTGTTGCTGTTGATAATGTGCCGGTGGTGGTCGAGGTGCTGGTCCCGTCTGTGTCCGAAGCCCTAGACACCAAACCTCAAAAGACGCTGGGTTGGCAGAGAGGAAACGGGTTGTTAAACAAAAACAACAGAAAACTCTAAAGCCCTAAACCCCGACCCCACAAGCCGAAAACCCTACACACCCCTAGAATTCGAACCCTGTGACAAAGCCCTTGTAGGAAGCTCTTACAGAAGCCTAGCTAGCTATACTTGCGAAGCCTTATACACATCTGAGAGAAACGACCTTATAGAAAACGTATAAAACCCCCGCGGAGCGCTTACTTGTCAGCAAGGCTTGATCAGTTTAGCTTGGATAGAATATGGGGGGGCCTAATAATTACCAATAGCATTGGGGGGTTCTATGAGGGACCTGTCAGAGAATAGAATAGAAGGGGCTCCCTGAGCCCTAAACCCTGAACGGGCTCTACAAGCCTTCCATAAACAAAAGCTCCACAAGGTGCCTATGTGCTTCTGTAGAGGTTGTCTGGGGGTTCTATATAGGGTTTAGGGTTTAGGGTGGTTGTCTGCTGATTCTAGAAGTTTTGCATTTTGCAGAAGGGTTATAAGGTTCTGTAAGGTTTCTATACGTTATCGGGATCTGCTCTGCAAGTAGTACTATTCAATACCTAAACCCTGAACCCTAAGCCCTGAACCCTGAACCGAACCCTACACCCTAACTAAACCCTAAACCCTAAACCCTAAACCCTAAACCCTGAAGCCTGAGCCCTAGAGGATGCCAACTGTCGTATCAGAAGTTCGTGTATCATCACCCCGGTCTAGGTCATTTTCAGGTGGTTAGTTACCGTTATAGGAGGGTTTAGGGTTTAGGGTATACCTTATAGAAGCCCTATATACCCTAAACTCCCCCAAACCCTAAACCCTATACCCTAAACTCCCCTAAACCCTAAACCCTAAACTTCCCTAAACCCTAAACCCTAAACCCTATACCCTAAACTCCCCACCTGTAGTTTCCTTTAACCCAGGCAGCTTGCCAGTGACGGCATCTGTGACCCGGTGCTTTGGCCCGATCCCCAGAAGGATTCAGGAGGGTTTAGGGTTTAGGGTTTAGGGTTTAGGGGGGGGTTGCTTGGGGTTCTTCAGGGGTTCTAGAGCGGGCTTCGGGTTTAGGATTGCAGCGGTCTTTGTTGCTAGTGCACGTCCTTTTTGCCGCAACCTCTGCTGAGCAGTTTTCGGCCCCTAGGACTTCCCTTATTTTAGGGTTTAGGGTTTAGGGTTTAGGGTTTAGGGTTTAGGGTTTAGGGTCATACCCTACCCCTTTTTTAAGGTACTTAGCTCTATGGTTAAGATCTGCTATGTAAACAAGTCGGTACCCTAAACAAGGGGTAGGGTGTGACCCTATAGGTGAACAAACCCCTACGAACTCTTATAAACCCCAAGCCCTAAGCCATAGTTACTCGGGCGTGTAGCTGTCGTTGTTTCTAAAGTAGAACCCATGGGCCCCTAGTATGGGCCCTTAACCCTGAGACCCTAATATACCTACTATATACTCTATATATACCCTTAAGGGACCCTAGAATCCCCCAAGGGCCCATGTTAGGGGCCCATGGGTTCAACCCTAAACCCAAAACCCTAAACCCTAAACCCTGAACCTTGCATGAACCAGAAGCCCCCTTGTTTCCTAGTTCCCCAATCCCCAACGAATAGGGCGTAGCAGAAATGGACGGTTTAGGGTTTAGGGTTTAGCAAAGATGGACACCCAAGAACATCCTTTAGTTCCGCAATCCCCAACCTTTATAAACTTTTTGGGGTTCTTAGAATTTAGTCGTAATCTGAAAGTTTAACACTTTTATTTCCCTGGTTTATTGGGAAGTAATTTTTCACCCCTACACCCCAAACCGCCAAAGAAAACGCAAAAACCTAAGCCTTAAACCCTAAAGCCCTGAACCCTAAACCCAGCCAATATACATAGATGCAACGGGTGCGGAAGCCGATCTCGAGGGTTCAGACTTGGGGCTCTTGGATTTCTGGCATCTTTGAGATTTCGGGTGTAGGACTATGGGCTTTGGGTGTAAAGGCTGGGAGCTGCGAATGGACCTGTCTGAGTACCTTGCATGGTTCTGCAAAAAAATTCAGCTGTATTTCCTTGCTAACATCAATTAGCTCAATGCCAGTGCTTGCCAAATAAATAGGCCTGTTTATTGACAAGTAGCGCTGAGTTGCCAATTGAGCTGACCAAGCCTTGGCCATGATACAAGGGGCCGTCTAGGTTTTATGGGGTTGGTTCCTATCCGGTGCGAGGTAGCCTGGCATGGCTTTGGAGCACGTTCGATGCGCGGAGAGTCTGTCCTTAGGTCCAGGCTATTTTCGTAGTTTCTTGACTTGCTTCGCCAGTCTAGATGTTCACTTAAACCTCCGACCTTGCTGCAGCTAGAAAAGCAGAAGGGGGCTTTGACATGTCCATTCGCTCGTTTCCCTGCTGCCATTTTGGACCATCTCGCATGTTGTCAAGGCACCCAAAGCACGTCATGGAAAGCTTTGTCGGCCGATCCCCACCTAAACCTTCAACCCCTCCAACTTTGATTCGTCCACAGCTTGCTGCCCACAGCACGACACCCTGAGCCCACCCTGCGATCTCTCGCTCCCCTGGGGTTTTTAGTGCTTTTCAAGGTTGTTTTAAA